TATTAATATGTAGATGTGACAAAATATATTCAATTTACTTAATTCTCGATTTTATAAAGTCACAAATTTCCTTAATTCGCCCCCACCAAACTCACTAATTGTGATGTGAGATGTCAAGAATAAGAATAAGGAAGGCGATTTAATTTGTTAAATTATTCATGGGTCATGGTAATTAGTATTATAAAGATATTAATTAAAGAAATAATAAATAATAATTTTTATTAAAATATATTAAAAATTATAGAAGTGAGTATATAAAAATATATCTAATGAAATATTTTTATTTTAAATTCCTTAGTGCTTACGGCAATTGTTATCATTTTTCTTTCTTTATTTACTTATTTGTTTTAAGTTCAAATATATAAAAATGAAATATTTTTTTATTTTTTATCTTTATTTTTATTCATATTATCACCACTCATCTTATTTATTTTTCTAAAATGATAACTTATTTTATCTAACTCTCAAAAAGTATCGAGATTTGTTGTCATGAGCAGATCCTTGTCTTTTGATGAATAATATTTTTCTTGAAAACCAAATAAGGAAAATGAAAAAAAAAAGAATTATTTTATTAAAAATGAAACTTCTAATTGTTGTTCTTAAAGACAATGATTAAAGAATAAAAATATATTTTTATTAAAAATTAGAATATTTATTTAATATTATCAATATATTTTTAATAAAAAATATTTTCCAATTCGTTTAATTTTCTGTTATTAAAATCTCTATTTTCGTTTCTCTATGTTGCTTTCAACAACAAAAAATTGGTCAAATAGTATTAACTTGACTCCTACAAGCAAGTGCTTCCGTGTCCTCCCAATCCTTTTGTCGTTGGCAACGTTAAGAACACAACTGATTTTGGGATCCAATAAACAAGAATCTTGGGCCTGCACAACCCAACAACATTTGTATTATCCACTCCGTTGATAGAAAAGAAAAAAAGAAAGAAGTAATAATAATAATAATAATACCAACAACACCTAAGAAAGTATACCTAAATTATGGCCTCAGCAAAAGCCATCTCATTATATTCCATGGCAATGGACTGCACCCTTTGTCTTGCATTGAGTTGGAATAGCTGTTGAAGGGGAAGTGAGTCCCACTCTGGCTTCCATGCACATACTTTGGTGGAACCATAACTTGGTTCGAGACTATATCTGTATGTGTGAATGACACAAAATTCTCGTTTAGAAGAGCTGATCCAGCTGTGTTCACATTTACAGCACCAGAGGTGGTGGATATCTATAACAGTCACCCAAGTAGATGTAAAGTATATAACATTATTGTTAAAAAAAGAGCACTGTACTTAAAACAGATATGCTTCAAGCACCACATAGCTGAGAATTGTTCATTTGAAAATAAAGTAAGAACATGTATGTTTAAACTTCCAAATAAGAATGTTAATCATATCAGTGGTCACCCTACCAAAATGTAAAAACGGCAAAAAGATTATTTTGATTCCGAAGAACTCTGAAATCCCGGTGAAATAATTTTTAAGCTCAATCTAACAAAATCTATATTTTAAATCACTCCCATAAGTGCTCAGCAAAACGATAGAGACAAATGTCCATCAAAGAGCTGCCAGTGTGAAGTGTCCAAGTATAGCCCTAGCCATGGCAATGAAACATGGGAAGTGTGTCCACAGATATACTCCACCTTCGTTTATTCCCCAAATATTAGTTTAATTAAGGGTATGTTTAGGAGTGGAATTTTGAAGATAAATGGACTCAAGCACAAATGCTTTTATTCTAAATAAATATTCTCTTAGTTAATAATTTTTAAAAATAATTTGATAATTCATTTTCAATAAATTTTGATTCCTAAGCCTGTAAACTTTCCAATATTTTTTTTTCCTTTTTTAGCTATCCTTATTAACTAAATTTTGTATCTTTATCTTCTGCTTAAATTTCTTCCCTCTCCTTCCTTCTCTTACCTTTATTTTCTTTAAACCAATGCATTAAAATGCATAGATTATCAAAGTGAATTTTATCCCTGTTTATAATTTAATTTTATAGGTTTATGCATGTAGCCAAAATATATCAACAAGTTAAATCTTTAAATGTTCAGTTTAGGTAGAATTCAGATAAGCACTTATAGAAGAAAAAGTAGGAGATACACTTAATTATTTTTTAAAGTTAAAATAAAATTATATAGTTTAACTTTTAAAAAAGTTGAATGGAATTTTTTTTTTTAAATATTAAATTGCATAAGTTAATTAAAATTTCTAGGACAAATTTAATTTACCTTACTTTTTTTTATTTTCTCTTGTTAAAAACATTTATTAAAAAAATATCTAAATTAAACAAATCGAATTAAACTATTGCTTACAAAGATAGCCGGCAAAGAACACCAACAAAAATAATTCATGTTAAATTGCTAAGTCCAAACCTAGTTAAACTGTTATTTATAAAGACAAACAATGAAGAAGACCAACAATAATATCTAAGACTGTCTATTGGATCGGGTTAAACAGTTTTGGGTGTAATTAAACCACAAAAAGTTCAAATCGATCTCTATATTATTAGAGTCGTAATCGTTCGCTTAATGGGTCTATTATACAGATTTTGGATTAGCGAATTTCGGGTTAAGCATGTCAAACAAGCAGTTTGGGCCAAAATCATTTATTTATCAAAAATCTTACAAACACAACACTCAAAACACATTCAAATCAGCACATACCTCACCTAAAAAACCCAACATCAAATCAACCGTTCCAAAAAAAAAAACATTTACCTTTCGTACAGCTTCTCAAAAGTGTCACTTCGCAACCTCTTCCTAAACAATCCGTTGGCACACTGACGATCCTTCCAGAGTTCCAATCCACCAATGACGATTCCAGGCACAAAAACCCTTGGGTGCTTCACTGTCAACTCCTCCTTCCTCTGAGGAAACGACACTGACATTATACTGTATAAAAACAGCAAAAACTACTAAAGGGAACATATAAATTCTATTGTCCAACAACAGCTATCCATACATGTCCATGTCTTTATCTTTCCACTCTTTTCCTTCACCTTCTCTTCCTTTTGAATATCATCTTGAATATAGAAGGTTCATTAAGATTGGACCTTTTAGCCCCACCCACCAAACACACCGCTATTTTCTGTGTTTATTTTTAATATTAATTTAATATGTAATCAGGTTGTTTCGAATCTTAATTTTCTTATCCAAATTTAACCATTTTTAACTATATAAATTCGTTTTTACTAATCTGAATTTCTCCTAAATAAGTCGACTGACTCTATTTGTGTTTTAGACATTCGGTTAACCCGATTTTTTATGGACTTCGCATTTTTTGACAGTCTTAATGATATCCTTGTTAAAAATGCTAAATCTTTTTTATGAAAACACTAGGATAACTAGAGATAAGCAATTAATTTAAGGTTGTGGTTTGATAGAGTGATATGGAAGGTTCATTGAGATTGGACCTTTTAGCCCCACCACCGCCATTTTCTATGTGTTTATTTTTAATATTAATTTAATATGTAATCGGGTTGGTTCAGATCTTAATTCTTTTATTTAAATTTAACCATTTTTAACTATATAAATTCGTTTTTACTGATCTGAATTTCTCCTAAATAAGTTGACTGACCCTATCTATGTTTTGAACATTCGGTTAACCTGATTTTTTATGGACTTAGAATTTTTAGACAGTCCTAATGATATCCTTGTTAAAAATGCTAAATCTTTTTCATGAAAATACTAGGATAACTAAAGGTAAGCAATTAATTTAAGGTTGTGGTTTGATAGAGTGTTCCTTAACAGCAAACTCATGTTTGCATGTTATTGGATGCCTGAATAGACCAACAACTTCCTACAAAGATGGAGGGTAAACAAACCAATTCATTCCACTTTGTTTCCCTTACGTAATCAAAAGAACTTACGAGAAAACAGTTCTTAAAAATCTTCCAAGCTTAAAAAGACAAAGGTTTGGGCCTAAAACGTCTAACAAAAAAGTTTTGGGCCTAAGAAGTATTATGTTGACTCCTATTTCTCAGGGTACTGCATTGTGACAGAAAAAAAATGGTACTGAAGGCATTGCTTGATTTGTTAAGATAAATGAGTTTGGGCATTACCCAAAAACTAAAAAGGTAAACATGAGTTTTGACCAAACAAAAGGTAAACATGTGTTGACTATCTATTTACATGGACATGCTAGGTCATACTAGTTAGACCCTAGTGATGACTAGTGAAAAATTATGTTAAACACCCTACGCATGGGAGAGCATTTTCTCTTGTGAATAGGTTATGTGCAAATTTCGTATTTATATATATTTTCATTTATTTAATGTCTATCAAGAATAAAAATACAAAATTTATATATAATCTTATTAAATAAATTTTCAACATGAAAAATTGTATTCAGTAAGCATAGATCTACGAGGAAGTCATACATTCTGAGTTAAATGTTGAAATATAAAAAAATAAAACAGTTCAAGTTTGAAAACACTAACGCCAATGCTTAACACACATCAGGGAATCAAACGAACATTTACATATCCAAGATAAAAAAACTGATTTTGATATCGTGCATTACCAGGAAATAACACCGAGAAAGGAAAACTTCCCTGACATCTTTTTCAAGACTAGAAGAGGCTTGCACAAATCATTGTAAAAAAAGTCATATTTTCTTTTAATTGTCATTAAATTATTGATTTTGTTGCAATACGGTTTTTTATCAACAAATATCTTAACATGAGTGAACCATCTTCTCATTGAATAAGAAGAATGACGTTACAATTTCATTAACAAAATCATAAAATATTTAAATTTAAAATTATAGAAACCTGCATAACTTTTCATTATAAATTAACTGTATATAAAGATTAGTTTTTGTTACATGGGAAAAGAAGAACACTGCATATGAAGATTTAGAGAGAGAGAGAGAGAGAGGTTCAACCTATGCAATAATAGATTGAAATCAGATTATTAGAATGAAACTTTGTACCATTTTGATCAGCAAATTCATAACATACAAATATAACAAAATTTTTCAGACAATCCATAGTGATCAAATATTCAATTGTATACATTGTGCCAAAATATATTCAAAATTATACAAGAATGGACAGAAAATAACAGAAGCCAAGATATATATAGCAGCTTAATAATCTATACACATTTAACTATGATTGTCCACTCCAAGCTCATTTCACTCTCATGTGAAGGCAAAAGTAGTTGAAATATTCTCTACTAGCCCTCCTTTATTAAATTTTGCAGGATTCAAGAATGGACCAGCAAGAATCACAACAAAGAAAAGCTCAATTTGTAGAAGAAGATGGTGAGCCAGTGGGCTTAAAAGCAGCTTGCTCAGCACAAGAGAGCACTTCATTAGGCCCTGCCTCTTCTCTGCCAACACCCATGAGATCAAGGTAATAAAGATAATGGGAAATAATATTGTTCATTTGGTCATTATCAGATCCTTCGCCACACGCTTGATCACCATATAGCAAATTTATGGTGGCACCAAATCCAGGTACCCTTTTGGACAATGTGTCATTCTTGGTGGGTTTCCAGCTGCCAACAAAAACATCATGGGGTGAAGGTAGGTTTTTTTCAGGTGGGGTCATCCACTTCCATATTGCTGCCTGAAAGGCCAGGGTAGCATTCTGTTCTATGTATTCAGGATGGTCTAATAGATTCACCTTCAAGGCTTCCCCAATTTTTCCATAGTTGTAGTTCCTGTTATGATAAAGACATCAAGAAAGAAAACACAAGGGGTTTTTATCACAAATTGCATATGAATTTGGTGAATTTTTTGCATTTAATAATTTACCAACTTATGAGAAGGAAAAGAGAGTGAAACAAATATGTTTTATCAATGAAATGGAAATATCAAGAAGCACTTCCTTAAGGGACTTGTATGAAGTGTGTTTTTCTTCTGAATTTGAATCATCTCATGTTGTTGAATACACGTAATATAGTTATGTTGGAGAAGGAAAGATATAATTTTTATCAAACAAAACACACCATGATTGAATGTAGAATCCATTAATTAAATTTGATAAAAATTATGTCTTTCTTTCTAACATGATCATATCATGTTCCCAATATGAGAGGATTCAAATCTATTTCTTTCTTAGTAGATCAATAAAAATTTCTGAAGATTACTAAAACCAGTCTCTCAAATTAAAACAAAATATGTCGAAATAAGAAAAAAAAGAAATGATACATCGATGCTGGATCAGAAACAGGGTGAAACTAAGGGATACTCAAGAAATCTCAAAATACGAATACCAGAAAATTGGCAGGGCTCCACGGCCGTAGTATGCCACACCAGGAGTGCATGGGTAGGTTAATTTATAGTTTTCATCACAGTAGTATTTATCAGGACTCAACTCCTTGTTGTAGCATAAGCCCCAGGCCAAGGGTCCCCCTGTAGCCACCCCATAACCACCTGAAATATTATTTCAAGGAATTATTACTATACAATTTCATGATCCTTAAACAACACCTTACTTAAAATATCTAAGATATTGAGATCATGTAACTAAGCCATAATTCAACAAGAAAACATAAAATTATAAGAAAAATAAGGCACCCCCAAGATTTAATATCATATATTATATCATAATTCATATAATGTGCCAAATAAATGTGTCACACTTACAAGAGGTCTTGCTACCCACATGACCAAGGAAAGCTGCAAGCTCTTTCATTCCACTGGTCTTGCCTCCAGTGTTGCCAAACCCAAGAGGCTGATACAGCGCTGCAGCTGTAATAAAAGAACGGTAGTCCCAGAATCCAACAGCATGTGCCACTGGTGAATTGCGCTTTGAGAAGAGGTTCTCAAATTGGTAGGTCTGAAAATAGTCAGAAATAGTATCATTGCAGCAATAAACAGACCACCCTTTACATTCCCACCCTTTGTCACATAGCTTCTTTCCCTTCACTGTCTTCACCAATGTCTTCACTGATGACTGTCCATTCCCAACGACTAACATTGATACAATACTCAACACAAAAACCCATGTTGGATTCATCTTTCTTTTCTTTTTTTTTTCTTCTCTTGAATACTGATATGTGGTGTGTTTAATCTGAGTTACATATAGAGGTGGACGATATTTGTGGCATATAAAAAGAGGGTTCTAGAGATGATGTAATGTGGAGTGAAAGGAATGGAAAGCGAATGTGTAACTTATTAGGAGGAAGAGATTTTCAGGTTGGAATTGGTGGAGCTTTTGCTTCCATTTTCATTCACGTTTGAGTAGAAGGGAAGTAAAACTTGAAGGTACGTAGGGGTTCCATCTAATTAATGTGCACTTGATTAACCCGCAAATAGCATAAGCTACTCCAAGCATTGGACCAAAGCCCAAAAGTGTGGTTTGTTTAGATTACCACACATAATTTGGACCTTAGTGTAAGAAGGGGTATCCTTGCTCAATTGGGATGTTTACTTTGTATAAATGTAAGTCCAAGACTTAGCCTTGTGCGTCCTTTGAGTAAAATGGTAATGCCTCATCTAATGCAAGCCTATCACTATATGCCTTATTGTAATTTTTTTTAAAGATCCAAAGCATGCACCAGCCACCCCAGAAAGGGTAAAAAGTAACTTGTTAGAGGATGAATCCTTCTACATCAATATCACATTTGCTGTTGAATAATTGTGTCATACCCGTTACAGATTCAACTAGAAACAATGAATTATATAGAAATGCATGAGCCTATAGTTAATGCAAACAATGAAATATTTTGGGCTTCAAAGACTCTCGTTTTTTTTATGTCCTTAAACATGCAGGTTAGGTTCCATTCCAAGTTGTGTACGTGGGATTAATCTATAGTTATTAGCCATAAGATATTCGTGGTGTACATCAAAAAGTTAAAATGGTCAACCTATTAAATATTGATTAACTAACTAACTTTTAGCTACAAATGTTAATAATTTTTTGAAAAAAATTAGCAGTGTTTAATTGATATAGAATAGCTGTTCGTGTTTCTTAAGCTAATTTATAGCCAATGTATTACTATTATGTATTAAAATATTTAGAGAAAGTCTAAAGAATAAGTTTTCAACTTTGTCGGTAAAAATGTAGGAAAATTGTTAATGCACTGAAATTATGTAAGACAAATAACGCATAAAGTAAGGGGCATCTTTAGTTTGATATATAACTTGTCTCTTCCTTTTTGGTTCAGCACAATCTTCTTTGGTTCAGTTCAGCACAACATAATTTTTTTGTTTATACTAATAATCAATTGTGTTTTGTTATATTAAAAATGAGATACAATCTTAAGCAAATTTTACATTTGATGTTAAGAATTCAAATCTTGAAATTGTTATGCTAAGAAAAGTTTTACCTAATAATTTGATTTAAAAATGAATCTCACAAATATACCAGTAAAAAGGCTTAATCAAATTAGCGAAAAAAAAAAAGGCCTAATCAAAGAAAAGAAGAAAAATTATTTGTTTAATGTGAATTTGGTATTGTTCATCAAATACAAACGAAGCATTTAGGTCTCTTTAATTTGATCTGAGAAAACAATTTTTTATTTAATTTTGTGAATATTATAAAATGAAATATTAATAAATATCTTTAAAATTCTAATTAACAAAACAGTTTTTTATGAAAGATAAAAAAAAAATATAATATTTTAGAGATTTCATAACTTATTTAAACCTAAAAAAATGTAAGATATATTGTGAGATTTGATCATATAATCTGTTGTATTTTCACAGTTCTTCTTTTTTTCTTTTTTCTTTTTTTTAAATGAACCCTATAAAATTTTAATTGATTTTGCATTTTTGGTGAATTGAACATTGAAAAGTGGTTTGTAAGTACACTTTCGGAATTTCTGCATAGTTAGATTTCATACAAGACAAATGCACAACTCTATATTCAAATATTTTACTTAATTAAAAATAATAATAATAATGGAGATAACCTTCGATCAAAGTATGCTAACTGGAAGAAGTTACATTTCGAAGCACAAATCTGAAGACAACAAAAGAGAAACGATTGTTTTTCACTTTCTAGAAAATGTTTTCTGTGATTTTTAAGATTTTAAAAAAAAAGTCATTATTTCTATTTTTTTAAGATTTCAACTGATTATTTAAACAAGATAGTCTTTTATAAGGATTTGGCACTTGGCAGCGAGTTATTTAAAGGTGATTAAGAAGAATTTAATATATTATTAAAAAATTTAATTATTTTAAAAATAATTCTACGTTTATATATTCTTAATATAATAAATATTTGTATTTAATTCAAATATCAATCCTTTTAGTCTTTTGTAGGAAATTAAAACTACAATGTTTTTGTATTTTTGACGGTCTAAACTCAAATAAAATTTTTATACAAACTAAAATAACATAATTGTGATATTTTCAAAAACCGAAAATTTATTAATTTGTTTATCTCTTTAAAATTTCTTATGAATTTCTCTCATATAACCTATTTTAATGGCAAGTCATCTTTAGAACAAAAGACTACAGATACTGTTGGAATGGACAGCGTAACAAATGGAGAATACTTTTGGTAGTGTGTGGCTGTGTTTGAAGTTTGAAGTTAGAAGCAGAAAGTCCCATGTGGAAGGGACAAGAAAACTAATTTCAGCAATTACGGAAGGGAAAGGGAATCTGATTTGGCCTCACTCATTATTGATTTAATTGTAACTTTATATTAGCAAACTTCAAATAAATCCTTTATCATCTAAACTTTCTTGTATTTAAGATCATGTTTATTTTAATAATTGTTTATATAATATTAAAAAGATATTTTGAAAAACTTTATAAAGGTGATAGTTTATAATTTTTTACGAATATTTTATTATAATTATTATAAAAATTTATGCAATAAGTTCTTATGAATAAGAGTTTATTTACAATACCCTAAATTTATAATTTTCTATTGAATTATGACAAAAACAATAATATAATTTAAATATGTATAACCACTATTAAAATATATTTTATAACTGTAAAAAATTATAATAAGTGATTCTTTACTCTGTTAAATAATGCCTATTTCAAAACAAATTTTAAACTATTAAATTATAAAAATTATTATATTTTTAAATTAGCATATGTTTTGTTATATATATATATATATATATATATATATATATTGGATTCACTTATTTTTAAAAATAATTTTTAGTTTGTTTACTTAATTTTAGACTAAATTTTGGCTTATTCATTCTATTTAATATTTTTATAAATATTAAATTTTATTAATTTATAATTATAAAAAGGTAAAATAAATTTCTAAAAAGTACTTGATATTTCGTTAAATAATTTTATTTTAATGTATAATATATTTTTATAAATATAAATAAATATTGACTAGAAAATAATATACATATAAGTGTTTAATTTAACTAAAATTAAATATATGATTATAAAAGTAATATATTGTAATTTAAATATTATATTAATATAATTTATTAAACAAAATAGTCAAACAAATATTTTTAAAATAAGTAAATTGTTTTCTCTCTCTGTGTGTGAGTGAGAATTGATGTATCAAATAACAAATTAAATAAGCGAGTGAAAATTAATCTAAAACTTTTGTTAGGATGTTCAAAATTCAATTATATCTCTTAACTTGATTCAAAGTTTCAGTACTTTAATTTGATTTTATGTCTCTAATATAAGAAAAAATCTCGCTAATATCTAAAAAAAATGATACAGTAGCATATTTATAATACATTTATTTGTTGATTAGATAAATGTTTTAACTTTTAAATATATTTTAAAAAAGTATTATTAGTCTTTTCATATATTAAATCATGATTTAGCGTCGTCAAGACTAGTTTAAATGGATACACAAGTTTGTTATCTTTGTTTTTTTAGGGTCCACACGAAATATAAAAATAATTCAACAGCTCATTTACATCATAATCTTGTAAACATGTACATAATATACATTTTAAATTATTTACTGTTAAGTATTATATTAATTAACATCTTATGCATTTATTATTCTCTATTAAAAAATATTAAGAGTAAAAGTGTAAATTACAAAACATTAATTATTCAGTTTATTAAATAAAATATAATTATTATTTTTAAATATCCATAGGTTGTAGAGAATAAATTATGTTTTGATATACTCACATTAATTTGTGGCTCCATGTTCAAAAGCTTTAGGGACGTTCATTATAAGTGGGATCGAATATAACTTCATATCCATTGCTAGAACATATAGATAAAATTGAATATCTATATATATATATAATGTCTATTTTCATAATTTAATTGTACATATAAAAAAATTCGACATTTGTATCTATAATTTTAGAAGATGTTACTAAAAGTGACCATGAGTATCTTGTAAATTTATTATGTCACAATCTAGGTCAATATGGTACCATTATACTTAGGTCCCCCTACACATCTTTGTACTTAGGTCAGCAAAGTCTTTTAATGTGGAGAAGGGAAGTTTGGATGCTTTGTGAATCAAATAGCAGAATTATATTAAGAGATCTTTTAGGTGATTAATGGAAATTCTTATTTTGACAGCATTGTCCAATATTGTAGTTTTTTTATTAAATAATTTTCTGTCTTTCTCTGTTACTGTACATGTTAGAAATATAGAAAGAATGACAGATCATTTAGCAAAGTTTGCTTTCATTAATTTTAATTTTATTTTGGGTTGAAAAAGACTCTTTAAAGCTTTATTTATTACTTCTTTTTCATGACAAATATATACAATGACTTTAATTAGCCAAATTTTCTTCCTTTTGAATTTATATACGCATATTCAAGAAACATGAGAGTATAGAATAAACTGTCCATCCCACCAACACCATTAGTCATAATAATAACTTTTTTTTAGAAATACTTGCTAAGAAAGAAGGGAAATAAAATATTAAATACAAAATATTCAATATATTATATCTTTGAAAAAATATTTTATTTAAAAGAATATTTATTGTTACGTATTTTGTTGTTGTTTTTAAACAATTATATTTTTTCCTGAAATATTATTTATTAAATATTTAAGTGGAACTTTAATCAGTAATTGGTTAAAGATATTCAAAATTTAAAACATTTACAAATAAGTTGCAAAAAATAATTAAATATGATAAAACGTGCATTTTAAATTCTATAAATTTTTGAGAAAATGTTTTTGACATATTTGTTAGTAAGACCTTAAAGATTAATGTGCGCGTGAATTTGGAATGAAGGTGTAGGTAGGGTGGCCATGTGTGACGTGTGTGAGAAAGGGTCACTAACGTGAAACTCGAGACTCGAGAGAGACCCACAGCCACAGTTGTGTGTAAATCAATCGATTCATTGAACGAAGACGGTTCAGCTGTGTCAGTCACATCTAAGTTTCGCCTTTATTTAAAACTATAATTTATTAATATAAATTATATTCAATATTATTGTAAATTATACAAAATCAATTTTAATTAAAAAAATATCATTAAAAATACTTATATTGTTAAACATTAATTTGTATGGCATCTAAATATCTTCCAATCAAAACCCAACACGCGTTTCCTCTCTTCAACAGCTATTTCTACACTTTCACACATAACCAAACCCATCAAGTCTAACTTAGAACATGCTTACCTATTACTTCTACATATTTTTTTGTATTCATTCAAACATAGTGAAGTTTATTTTAATGAAAAACATGTCAACTGAACTTTATTTTAATAGAAAACTAAACATGCATTTAATTGTTTGTTGCATGTTAACTTCATAGATCCTCTGGAATCAAATCAAGTGTGCGTTTTGTTTCTCTTGTAGGCTGTTTATTTATTAAAACATAACACCTAAAACTAACTAGATTAATTATTAAGACAGGAAATTATGAGAATACTATGTACATAGTAAAGAAAAACTATAAATTCACTACTTCACAATTATAGCTAGGTTAAAACTCATGATTAATTGATTATATTAATTCCTGCTAAGCCTGTTTATAAAAATCTCTCTTACTTATGGAAATCATCTTTTGCAATTACTATTTTTGTTTTTCTTCAACTACCCAATTTTTGTAAAAAAATTACTTTTAATTTTTTAATCAATAGCTTTAAGAATTACCTTGTTGAAATATATATACAAAAACTTTAAAAAGAAACACGAATTTGAGAGACAAATTTCATTAAGTCCTCCAAAATTTATGAAGCATTTTTCCTAAAAACTATTGAGAGATTTATTTCATGTATATATACAATTACCTACACTATACATACCCAAAAATCAAAGTGGGGTTAATTTATCAAAAATTAAAAAAAAAAACTTTATTAATATCCTCAGAACGAACGCTATATTAAAAGTCGCAAGCAACCCTGTGATTTTGACGAGGAGAACGTAACACCATTCTTTATTAATCTTACCTTGATTCGTGCTGTTCTAATGTGCGATCCCTCGTCTATGCAAAGTTTTTCCCAACGGATGATGTTTATGATTTTCCTTGCAGAATGAATGTGTTAATAATATCGTTACTATTTTAAATATTGGCACTCGAAAATTTCTTATTTTTTCATTTATATAAAGAAAAATAACCATTTTAAAGTGTAACTAGGCAAAGAGAAGAAAAACACTGGGGAAAAAAAGAGATATAATAAAATAATATGATAAGAATAAAGAAAATATATAAAAAATAGGTGCCAGAGAAAATTAACATAAAAATATAATTTTATATAATCTAATACTAATCATACACATATTTTTTTTTAAATTAATACTTAATTTATTTAAGAAAATATCTAAAGAACTAATTTTTTTAATTTTAAACAAATATAAAATAAAAATTCATTTTTAAATTTAATCTTTTTTTTTTAATTTTCTCTACAGCTGAATAAAAATGTATATTACTTCATTTTCATTTTCTTTTCTCATTATCCGAACAATAGCACAAAACAAAAGGGTCGTTGACTGACTCTTTACTCAGTTCTGACTCCCGTTTCTCTTTCTTCCAATTCAAACAGACCCTCTCGCAATCAGGTAAATTTCTCACCTTTTCTTCTTTTTCTCTCCCCCCTTTTCTTCTTTCACCCTTTTCCTTTTCTCCTCACAACCTTGCTTCAATATTATCCACCCACGTTGTTGTTCTCTTTTGTTTGATCATGTCTTTGCTGACTCTTTGTCTTCTTTAAGGTTGTTGGTAGTGTAATTGTTGTTAGAGAAGAAGTTAACAAGGTGATTTTCTCGTAGCTTTCTTCTGTTGTCATGGCACACAAGTTAACGGGGCAGCTTGTGGGTTCAGAGATACATGGGTTTCACACGTTGCGTGGTACATGCATTCTTCTTCTCTCAACTCTCTATTTCCATTATGCTGTTATTTAGTTCAACCCCAAGCTTCATCAAGTTTCAATTTTGAGAATCTCCCTCTTCTTCTCTATATCTCTCTATCCTACTTTTTTTTTTTTGGTGGGGGTGGGGTGGGGGTTAGTGAAGTTTAAATTTTGTGTGTAAATTGTTGTTTAGTTGTAGCTATAGTTGGCTTTTCGTTCCTAAAGATGCTAGTGTGTAATTTTCAATGCAACCTTGGACCGAAAAAGAAAGTGTGGTTGTTTTGGTTGTGGATTGTTTCTTCAGGGTCAAGTGTGAACTTTTGTAGTGTTTATGGAAGAAAACAAGGGGATATGGGGTTTTGAATATTATTCTGGCATTGGTTGTTGTTTAAGCTTGACAGGCTTCAAACGTTTTCGGAGAGAACCAACTACCAATCAGTCTTTGACAACTTAATTAGCAAGTCCTTTTTTTGGTGTGTGTTGTATCCATATATTTGAAATTACTTCTGAAATGTTAATAATAAATTCTATGTATTGTGTTTGCTATGACAATAAGACCTAGTTTGGGTGAGCTTCTAAAAAGAAAAATAATATGAAAAATGAATAAAACTTATCTCATAATTGAAAAACAACTTTTTTCTTGGAGTTTTAGATCAGTTAAACGAGAGACCTTAGTTGATTTTAACTTATGGAAAGTATTTGATTTATTTTACAACTTAATTTTTTACTCTTAATTGAAAAGTTTATCCATACTGGGCCTAAGTAGAAGCATAAAACAAGCTGTGAAGATGGTTTCTTGTATTAAGGTATCTTGTCTAAGATTTAGTAGTTGTTACTTTTTAGTATGTATCTCAGACAGTGGTGGCTGCAGAATATATTAATTTTGTGAATTCTACAAAATGCTGCAACATATAGCTGGAAGGTTAAATCCCCCTGAGATGTCACACTAGAATATCAATATTAGTTTCTGTGGGGCCAAGCTGGATGGGAACTAATGAAAGGAAGTAAGAAGTTAATCTTTGGATGTGACAGTGTGGCTTTAACTTTTGGTTCAATGTAGTATGGAAATTTGTACTTTTCAAGATGGGATTTAAAGAAATCTGACAAAATATATATTTGCTATGCATTTCTATTCTAGTTGCTTCATACTGCAATCATTGTGACTACTACCAAATTGCTTGGTCAATGGTTGATATTAATCATCTCTGTTGATTTGTTGTTCTAAAGTAATTTATTATGTATGGCCCAGATCTGGATGTTGGGAACACTATGGAAGAAGCAAAAGGCAGATGGCTTCGTCCCAATGAGATTCATGCCATACTTTGTAATCACAAATATTTCACGATCAATGCCAAGCCAGTGAATTTGCCCCCAAGTAATCATATGTTTTTATTTGCAGCAACTTGACATTTGTAGATTGGATATGCATTTTCATGTGGACTGTTTCTCATCATATTCATTCCTGTCTTTTTAAGTTTAACTTCTTTTTCTTAATTTCCATGAAATGTTTCTCAGATTCTGTTTTAGATTTTGTAAAATTGTAGATCCTTCTATTCTTGTTGAAGCATGCCTTAACAAATAGTTAAATACATAAAAGAAAAAGTTTTATTCACCCAATTATGCACTGCTCAAGTGCTTATGTTATGAATATAATGCAATATAAAATCTCAATGATTTTCAGGCATTCTTCATAGATCTATTAATAGAATATTTTAAGTAGTTTTTAAACATCTAAGTAACAAGTGTTTGCTGCATTGAGAAATCCAATCACCAGTGCTAATGTCATGTTATTTTTTTGTTTGTAAAACAGGTGGTACTATTGTATTATTTGACCGCAAGATGCTTAGGAATTTCCGAAAAGATGGGCACAACTGGAAAAAGAAAAGTGATGGGAAAACTGTTAAAGAAGCCCATGAGCACTTAAAAGTGAGTGGTTTCATTTTCTTGGATGTTTATTTGAAGTTGTGTTAGCAAGTGGCCTCATGAGTTAATGTTAGGGTAATACTCAAAATGGGTCTGGGTTATTGGTGAGGGGTTTGGGTAGCTTTCATAAGATCATAGGTTCAATCCACCTGCCACCATTTTACTTAAATAGGTTATCTTACAATACTGCGAGCTTTCTAAAGCTCGGTTGTGTACATTGCCAGTTTTATTGACACCATTTTCAATTCTACATGATTTCTTCCACAGTAATTTGTTGTTGGGATTTTTTAATTTCACTAGGCTTAGATATCACTCCTGTTTGATTTACAAGTATGAATTCACTGATTGGATACCATTTGATCTATATAACACATTGTTGCTTTATACATCTCAGTTTGTATGCAAATGCAATTATTTAGTCACACTTTTATCATTGTTTCCGGGTAACATTTGGGGAATAAATTATGTCATTTCGCTTAATGTTGTCACCATATTACTCTCTTTAATTTCTATCTTAACTTTTCTTCCTCCTGTTTTTGTTATAATTGATTCTAATGTTTGGTTGAGTCACTAATAAGGCATGTATCTGATCTTTTACATTCTTTTGTTCATTTTTTTCCCTCATCAACCAGGTTGGCAATGAAGAAAGGATACACGTTTATTATGCACATGGCCAAGATAACCCAAGCTTTGTCCGTAGGTGTTATTGGTTGCTTGATAAGTATGTATATCAATGTTTTGCTTGACTCTTAAGGTCCCAATTCCAATATATCATGCATGTCTCTTTTTGTGAACTATGATTTAGTAACAGTGGTTATGTATTTCTTATACTTTTTTTTTTGTTAAACCTAGAATAAAAAGAAGTTTGAGAATAATAATGTGACTTACAATTGTTGTTTTGATTTTCTTTTCAGGAGTTTGGAGCACATAGTCCTTGTTCATTATCGTGAAACACAGGAGGTTGTGTTAATTATTTTCTTTCTTCCTTTCTCTTATAAATTTAACTTCACCTCCAAACAGTGGCCTATGTATGCTATGCGTATGTTGCTTGGCCCAATAAGAAGACCATATATGTTTAGTTTTTCATCACATTGAATCATTAGTCAGTTTGTGAACCTTACATCAGTAATTTAGTTATAGTCTTTTACACATTCAAGTATGTCTGGATGCAAAAAACATGTCTGTAAGAAAAACTTTTCACACTAACAATGTTTTTCTAGTGGTCTGGTTGGGAATCTCATTTATTCTCTATGAAAACTACACTGGTTCTATTTATTTTTCCTTTTGGGGGGAGGGGTGGTGTAAAGCTTCTTGTAATTTTTTTGCCTTGCATGTGTTTAAGGGAATCCCAAGTCAAGAAAAAGGTCCTCTAAAAGTGAATTTTGTCTCTAAAGTGAGCAAGTGGTGTATCCACCCTTAAATTTTATTGGGTTAAGATCATACTGTAATTTAAATCAAATCAAGGGTGGATACACCCTTACTTTAGAGGAGCCTTGCCTTGAATCCAACATTTGATGTGTCAATGCTTTACCATTTGAACTTGTTCTTGTATAAAATTTTGCTTTCTAACCTTCATTAGGTGGTGGTTTATGATACAGTTGCAAGGTTCTCCTGTTACGCCTGTAAATTCAAATTCAAGTTCTGTCTCTGATCCAACTGCACCATGGATTCCATCAGAAGACTTGGATTCTGGGACAAACAGTGCTTATGTTGGTAAGAAATAACATTTCGATAATTTCAGTCTATGTTCTTACAAGTTATACTCCTAAGGCTATCAATATGAAAGGCTTAATACATTTCTTTATAATATTGGGATGTTATATTTAGAAGATGTGTTTACTAGGAAGAAATGAAAAGCAGGATAATTAATTAAGAATTGAGATCGAAGAATATGGGCAATGTGTATGTGTTTATACGTGGTGAATTTTTACTCCACCCATTCTGCCACTTTTGTGTTGTGCTCATCTTTCCAAGGGAAACTGCAAATATGATCCTATTTAATTGGTTATGGCCCATATATAGTTGGTTCCTAACACTGCTGTCATAAATACTGTTGCTTTCTTTCCTTGACTATGTATTTATATTCTCATTCCTTTTCTGTTTTGGAGATAAACAGGGCTTAATGACAATTTAACAGTCAAAAGTCATGAACAGAGGCTTCATGAGCTTAATACACTTGAATGGGATGACCTAGTGGTTTCAAATGTCAACAGCTCTACCACTCCAAATGGAGGTAATTGATTGTGCTTTTACAGAACTAGTTGCTTCTTGAGAAGGAGCCTTATTATTTTATGTGCTGAATTTACTTTTGGCAGGCAATGTTCCATGTTTGTATCAACAAAATCAAAGTTTATTAAATGGAAGCTTTGGCAATGTAAGATAATATTTTCTTTCTTTCATTTGGGATTTTTATTATGCTCTATGTTGTGATTTTTCATTTATGTTTTGTGGAAGGGGTTGTGGGGCCATTTTGAATTTTCTTTTATATAGAAAAAGAAATTTAATAAGAGAGGAAATAAGTAAAGCACAACTATGGGGAGGGTAAGATATTATTTGGAAATAAAAAGAGCGAGGAAAAAGAAAGGTTCAATGTGGAAAGGACAACCAATCTCGGTGTATTAAAAATTGAAACTCCCTTGAAACGGCCTTGACCAGCATGCCAAAGAAAGAGCAGTAACACCAACCTATTCAAAGCAAATCTTGGGGCAAAGGTAGAACCTTGAAATGCAGGCATTTTGTTCAGCACACAGCCAAAAAGTCAAGCCCCCCACCCCCTGGTTGGCAGTCCTTTATTTTTGAGTGATCCTTTTTAAATTATATGTAATAGTATCATCAAAAGAGATGATTTTATATCATTTATTTGACAAAAGATTTAGTAGAGGCTCAAGCATTCAGTTGCATTTGTGATAGTTGCTAGTTAGAAAAAGTGTGTAGCTGATAATTATATTCTTATGCTTCCTTCTTCCTCTTCTTTCTGTCTTTCTAGTGCTACTTGCTTTGATAGTTGCTATGGTAACCTATGTAGGGTTTTTATTACCAGGTACCCAGTAATCTGTCTGCAGAAGTTCATTCTTATGGTAATTTAACTCTGCCAATTTCTGGGAGCAATAGTGTTGCTTACAGTTTCCAAGAAGATATTAATCTTCCTAAGAATGTTCCCATCTCTGCGGATGGTGTTGAATCTGTTGATACCGTGGGCACTTTGGTCAATGAAGGCTTGCAAAGTCAGGACAGTTTTAGAATGTGGATGAACGTCATATCAGATACGCCATGTTCCCTAGATGAGTCACCTCTTGAATCATCAATTTCTTCTATTCAGGAACCATATTCGTCACTGGTGGCAGATAATCTGCAATCTTCTCTGCCAGAACAAGTATTTAATCTCACTGAGGTGTCCCCTACATGGGCATCTTCCACCGAGAAAACAAAGGTTTCCTTTTACTTCTCATATGTCTAATTGTTTGTAATTATTTTCTGTTGTAATCATATCCTTCTTTACTACCAATTGTAATATCTAGTTTCTTAGTTGATTTCTCAGAATTTTGTTCAATCTTGGAGACTTGGATTATATAGTATGGCTGTGGAATTCCAAACCTTTTAACTACCGAACCTAAAAATGATAACTAATCATTTCATGTTCGTTTACTTCTTGCAGGTCCTGGTAACTGGATTCTTCCATAGTAACTACCAACACCTTGCCAAGTCCAATCTACTTTGTGTCTGTGGTGATGTAAGTGTTCCAGTAGAAATTGTTCAGGTTGGGGTTTACCGATGCTGGGTATCTCCACATTCTCCTGGATTGGTGAATCTCTATTTGAGCTTTGATGCTCATAAGCCGATTAGCCAAGTTGTTAATTTTGAGTATCGTACTCCTATGTTGCATGATCCCACTGCTTCAATGGAAGAGAAACACAACTGGAATGAGTTTCGACTTCAGATGAGGCTTGCTCATTTGCTCTTTGCTACAGAAAAGACCCTCAACATTTTCTCGAGTAAAGTATCACTTAATGCACTGAAAGAGGCTAAAAAATTTTCCTCTAAAACATCATTTATTTCCAGAAATTGGCAATACTTGATGAAGTCTATTGATAACAATACAACTCCATTTCCACAAGCAAAAGATACCTTGTTTGAAATTTCATTGAAAAACAAATTAAAGGAATGGCTTTTGGAACGAATTGTCTTAGGCTGCAAGACTACTGAATATGATGCGCAGGGCCAAGGTGTTATTCATTTGTGTGCAATGCTAGGCTATACTTGGGCTATTTCCTTATTTTCTTGGTCAGGCTTGTCGCTGGATTTCCGTGACAAATTTGGATGGACAGCTCTTCACTGGGCAGCATATTTTGGATCGTATGATACATGGATACTCCTCTTGTTTGAACATTTAGCTATGCTGCATTGTATTACCTAAAGAAGATAAACTTACACAACATAAACTATTTGATCTTGTAATGAAATTAGACTCAGTAGGTTATCCATATAGTAATACATATATACAATTTTTTCCTTTTATAAGGGGCCTGAACGATCTTTCATTGCTTTTTCTATTTAAAATTTGGGTCTGCAGGGAGAAAATGGTTGCTACTCTGTTGTCTTGTGGAGCCAGGCCAAACTTGATCACCGATCCAACTCCACAAAATCCTGCTGGATGTACTGTTGCTGATCTTGCTTACACAAAGGGACATGATGGCTTAGCAGCATACCTTTCAGAAAAGTCTCTGGTTGAGCAGTTCAATGACATGAGCTTAGCTGGAAATATCAGTGGCACACTGGAAACTAGTTCAACTGATGCAGTAAATCCTGAGAACCTCACTGAGGACCAACTGTACCTAAAGGAGACATTGGCAGCTTACAGAACAGCTGCTGAGGCTGCAGGACGCATTCAAGCTGCTTTTAGGGAGCGCTCACTGAAATTGCAATCTAAGGCAGTTGAATTTTGCAGCCCAGAGGATGAAGCGCGCCAAATAGTAGCAGCAATGAAGATTCAACATGCCTTTCGCAACTTTGAGACAAAGAAAATGATGGCTGCCGCTGCTCGGATTCAGCATACATTCCGTACATGGAAGTACCGTAGAGAATATCTCCACATGCGGCGTCAGGCTATCAAAATTCAAGTAAGAGCTACACTTCATGTCTGTCATTGTGTATTGTCCTGAGTAACCATGTCATACTGAAAATTGATGTTATCTGATTGAATCAATTTTTGGACTGCTCAACTATCAGTTCATGTCAGTTGGCACATATCTTATCGTGTTTTGTTCCACAAGTTATGAGCACATTCATGCCCATCCAAGCACTTTTAGTGACCACATATTTGAACTTGACAAATCAATTGCTTATCTTCCTTGTTGACTTAAGTAATTTTTACCAGTTTGTAAAGAATCTAGCACAATGACCACAGTATATAGAGTTTATTATACATTTGAGAGAATGTCGATGCAGTATAATAATACCAATTGAACATTTGATCCTGGAATCAGGAACGGACTTCTAAGTTAGTTTCCTTCCCAACTAATCATAGGTTTATTGAGCAGAACACATTCACATCCCTGCCTTGGCAGAGAGACCATTGAAGTGTTTAGTGTAGATAACAACACGGATAATTTATATATGCATCTATCATTTGTGTGTCGATGTGTGTGCAAATTTGTTTCTTCTTTCGTTTTGCTTTATCGTGGCTTATTAGAGGACCACTGCACTGAGTATATATTGCAGGAGACACATCTTCTGGGTACTACATTTAATTGAGACCAACAGATTGAGTGATTATTATAATTTACATCCTGGAAAATATTTTGTTTTTGGGTCAAATCCTGGAAAAGATTAATGACACATATTTTCAATACAGGCTGCTTTCAGGGGTTTTCAAGCGCGGAAGCAATATTGTAAAATCATATGGTCGGTTGGGGTGCTTGAGAAAGCAATCCTGCGATGGCGTTTAAAGAGAAAAGGATTCCGTGGTCTCCAAGTTAATGCTGCCCAAGAAATGGAAGATGAGAAGCAGGAAAGTTGTGTTGAGGAAGATTTCTTTCGGGCTAGTAGGAAACAAGCTGAAGAACGAGTTGAACGGTCTGTTGTTCGTGTACAGGCCATGTTCCGGTCTAAGAAAGCACAAGAAGAATATAGAAGAATGAAGCTGGCACATAATCAAGCAAAGGTGACTAAGCTAATGTTATTGCTATGATTTTATTTTTTGAACATGTGTGTTTACTTGATTGATATGCTTTGTGCAGCTGGAATTGGAATTAGAAGAATTCCTCAATTCTGAAGTTGACATCTTAACACCGAGGACAACATTCCCAAAAGATGGTTCCTATTAAAGGTTTTTACTTTTGGGATGTCGCAAACTCTGTAGAGTCCTGTAACAATTTAGTTATAGTTTCGTGTCTTTTCTTGTATAGCACGTGGACCCTGTAAATTCCTTAGTGTAGATCTAAACCCATGAATGACCCTTTCAATTTGCTTTAATATCTTGATGGGGTTGTGTGTGTGTAATTAAGCTCTCTGGTCATGGTGGATGCCTCTGATGATTGATCAAGTTTGTAACACTTAAATAACTAGCCTTCTTAGAATTTGAATAGACATACTTGTTGTCATGATTCTTGTATGTAATAATTAGGAGTCCATTATATGATTGTTGATGTATAAAACATATAATGCCGTACCCCGGCCTTAAACCTTTCGTGAAGCAGCTAATATCTGTTTTTAAACGAAGTGCCTCTGCAATGTTTCATGTTTCTAAAGATTTGTTCTTTATTTGCACTACACTTAATTCAGTAATACAGAACCTTTAAATCTACTTGCATTATAACATCATGAAATTCTAAGCTTCAAGTATGGATTAGTGTAATATTTTTAAATCAATTTAAGAAAAATATCAAATGACTTAATTGTATTTATTTATTTTTTTGTCTGCATAATGTACTTTATTGTAATTTTAGTTTTTTAAATTTCAGATGTTCATATTCAGGTTTTCACTTTAAAATTTTATTTAATAATTAAGATAAATATAATAAAAATGTAATATATCATTAAATTATACAAATTTGTAAATTAAGAAATATATAAATAATTAAATAAAAATAAAAATATTTTTATTTTATTTTTATACATTTTATGGCACCTTAGTTTGAATAAAAAAAAATTAAGACATTTAATATAAATTAACACGATTGTTGAAAAGTTATTTTTCTAAAGGAAATGAGGGAAAAAAAGAAGAAGATAAACTATTATTATCATCTAACACAATGTTAGCTTTAGAATCTAGCTAAGCTTGTCCAACTAAAATTACCTTACGCGGGCTAATATGTGTGGTTTTAGGGTTAATTTGCTTGATGTGACTTCATAGTTCTCATCTTTTTCAAAAATAGACATATTTACTTTAGTTATTTGTAGTTAATTATGATTATTATTTTTGTTAATTTAACATATATTTTGAATAAAATTTTAACACATCTTTAAAATTATGGATGAATTTTGACATTGTGATTCATTATTATATAAAGAGTTCTATTTGAAACAGGGTACCACATTTGTAAAATATGAGGATCTAAGTGCATAAATTAAAAAGTAATTCGATAGGTCAAATGACTAAAAAAATCCTATTCAATCATTCTCTCTATATTTGTAAACTGAGACCATACTTTATCAGCTATGCAATCTTAGTAGTCAAAAGTCAATCTAGACTGCAAAGTTAAAAAATAAATAAATAGAAATTAGCAATTCTCGTAACAATTTAAAAATAGATTGCATAAACATTATTACAATAATCATTAATCAAAAAGATCATATTTAATATAATAAAAGAACTACGTAAAGCACAATACAGCACATGAAAATTAGAAGATAAATTTTTTTTGAGTGATCCAGAATCATATATTGGTGTTTTTAATATTGATATTACTTTTTTTTTTTTAATGAAATTTCTGAAATCTATATGATATCTTAACTCTTCAGTGTAAATAATGTCTATCTTGTTTTCCTATACAAAGAAAGGCACTTTTGCTAGTGACTCACCAGAAAGAAGAAGAGCATCCAACTCCTCCTTTGATTCTGGGAACCTTTCCTGATCATATGCATCAACCATATGCACTACATCATCCACCTTCATGGTGTTAAATTAATCTATTTTTTTGACATGTGGATTCATATAAAACTATCAAATTAAAAGAGCAAATTAAGAGAAATTCTTGAGAAAACAACATTCATCTAACTAAAAGCATAATATGTGTTGTGTATAACCTCAACCATACATGTTGTTAAAGAAAAAGTCGTGTAGTCCTAGCTTGGGAGAATGTTTATGCTTAACTAGTACCTCATAGAAGCCTACATCCTTAACTCAAGAGAAAGGGTGACCCTAAATTGGATGAAAGATTACCAAGTTTGATATTTATTTATTCGTAATTAAATTAATAAATAAGTAATTAGTAACTCACTGTTTGTTTAACTAGCTACCTCTTTTACAAGAGGGGTGTGAATGGAAATGCAAAGTAGAGAATTATTCACAAAATGAAGTATTGTGAGGGTCTGCCATCTGATTGCATGCGATTGGCTGATACGCGTCACTGAGTTTGACAGAGCAATAGGAAACGCTTGCGTGTAATTAAAATGATTCCAAGTGCCCATACACAAAAAGAACACAGTCAAACAATGTTTCTAAAATCAAACTGATAAAAGTATTAATTTACCGTTTATTAATTTCATTGTAATTAAATACTAATTGAATATACTATAACATATATAATATAAATTATAAAAAATAAAAAAAACTTAAGGTTTTAAATTAATAAAAAGATCATGCTAAACAATTAAATAATAATTTATATGTAAATATTATACATGATTTTTTATTTATTTTCAAATAAAACAAATTGAAACAATGAAAAAGATTATTTTTTTAAAATTTATTTATTTTAGCTAATTTTGAATACTTTTTAACTAGTTTAATTAATTTTTTATCCCGACAATTTTTCAAATCATGGAAAGTAACGTTGATCTAACTTCCCATTCTGGCAATTAGGCCAACAACCCCACAAAAGATGATGAGAAAACAAAATTACTTCGGAAAGTTGTTTTCTTGACCTAATAAAAGTTATCTTCGTGGGTAAGCAACCAATAATTAAACGCCTACGTAATTCTTTCGGAGATAAATAATTTTTTGTAATTTAAATTTTATAAGTAAAAAATTTATATATTATTTTTTGTTATTTTCAATTTTGTATCTTTTACTATAATATGTTATAATGTTAGTTTTATCTCTTGTGTAATAAATAATTATCTAATTTAGCAGGTTTAAATTATTTTTTAATTTTAATATATTATTTTTTTGTAATTTTATTCTATATAAGTTTAAAAAAAATTGTAAATCAATTTTTATAAAAAAAATATTTTCAATTTTGTCCATGTGAAGTTGACATTTTGATGTTAATGTTAAGTCACAATTTTTCATTATTTTTTAAAGAGTATTTTAGATTCTTCAAATAAGTTTTCTAATTTGTTTTATATTTTTTTACATTTAACTTTATATCTTAATTCATCATTACATGAGCATCACTTTAAATATTTTTATCTCTAATATCTTTACTTTTCTATTCTATCATATTTCATAATAATACTCATTTACTCTTCTATTATTCTTATCTTAATATCTTGAGTATTAATCATGTCCTCTTAAATCTTGTTCAAAAGTAATAACTTTTTTTCTATTATTGATATATTTGTAAGAAAATTAGAATCACTTTTTAAATCATAATTGTCATAATCATTTTTATATATTTCTATAATCACATATTGACTATCTTAAAAAAAATTATTAAAATAAGTATGATAGAAAAATAAATGAAGATTATTATAAAAATATAACAAAATATGCATGTAATGATATTTGAAATGAAAATACTATAGTTGTTGCTTATGTAAAAATGAATCAAGACATAAAATCTTTTCGATATGGTTCTTCTGCAGGTTTAAAGTAAAAAAAAAAAATTAACTTGTATAATGAATCTGAACATCATAGATAAAAAGTATGAAACAAAAATGTTACTTGACACTAATATAAAAATGTCACTATAACGATAAAAATAAAATTTAAAATAAATTTTTATATAAAAATTAATATACAATTTTTTACTTTAAAAATATTAAATTATTAAAAAAAAGTCTTGTAAAGAGACTATAACAACTTAAATCTATCACATTGAACATTAAATAGCAGTTTATCACATAAAAAAAAGCTAACGATGTTATAATAATGTGCACAATTTAAAATAAACTTGAGATTGATACGTAATTTTTTTATTAACAATAACTAAATTATAAAAAGAGGTTCTGTATAGGAACTAAAACGTTATTTTTTTTATTTTTTTTTAACATTTTTTTAGTTTTAATTTAAAAATGTAAATGATTTGGTTGATGTTAAGATTTACAAAACTAATGAATAAATTAACTAAAAATTAAAAGCTATAAAAATGGAAAATTGAATTAAAAGTGTTTCATAAAATTGATTATTAAATCAATTAATAAATATAACATAACAAAACTATTATTAAATTTTAGTTATTATATATATTCCTAAATGAATTCAATAGAAAGGTCACTCACTCTTATTACATCAATGTTGAAACTAACAAATATTCCAAAAATTGAGTCCCTTTTAATTTAAATAACTTTACTAAAAATAAAAATTTAAATTAGAAAATAAATATACACACTTGGTTCAAACAAATAATTAAAAAAATGTTGTTTTGATTTTAAAAAAAGCGTAAAAGTTAATTATCATTATTATAAAAATGTAATTTAAATACATTGTCAATACAAATATATTTTACACTGTCGCTCAATAATGGGTTGTTAATAATGGGTTCTCATATTAACAAGAATAGTTAATTTGTGTAATAAATAATATAAAAATCATATTTTCAATGTATTCTGATCAACTAATAATATAAAATCTTTATCCTGCCAATTCACTAAAATTAATTTCTTATTAAAATATATCAAGAGTTATCAATTTTTATCTTAATTTAAACTTAAGTTTTCATTATGTTTTTTTATTTACCACTTTTTATTATATCACAATGTTATTTCCCAGTATTTATGATATCTTGTTTTATTATATCATAATAATGCTATTTACCAATTAGAATGTTGTTTTATTTGATTTCACAATATTTATGATATCTTAATTGTAGTTTTTTTTTTCGTTGGTGGAGTGTCTCTTTTCATCCTAATGTGTAACTTCCCAGAACTATGAGTCCCAAATTTAAAACAATGATCAAAATATAAAACTTTCTTACATAGTATAATCAAATTAAATTTTTAAGCAAAAATTACATTTCTCTCTGTTCTTACTTGTAAAAATAAATCGGATCACAAGGTTGAAACAAGAGAAAACTCTGCTAGCTTTCAGACGTAAAATAGGGAAGGAAGTGGACTAAGATTCTTGCAAAATTATTTTTGTGCCCAATCATATCATCCTAAACAGAATTTAGTATTTTAAAGGAGAACATTCCCCCAAAAAAATCTTTGAAGATACAGAGTTTATCATGTAATATTACTGCAGTTGTATCAAATAATCCAATCAAAATGATCAAAGGCAAAAACAAAGGTAAAATCTCTTCTGATGTAACTGCAGAAAGGGCTAGTTTGACAAGGGAAAGGGGAACAAAAAATGATGCTGAACTCTACTTGATATACTGAGAAAGCCACTGGAAGCCTTCACCATACCCCATCTTGCGAACAATGCTGCACATGAACACTTCGAGAGGTCGAAGGTTGGAATCTGTGAGGTTGATCTTTCCTTTGCCAGTGGTGAAGTTGGTCAGGCCTAGATGAAATCGTAGTTCATCTTCTGAAGCCGCATATGGGATGTCAATCTTGTTGCCTAGCACAAGGAATGGAACATTTGCCAAGGCTTCATCTGAGAGCAAGGCATCAAGCTCCTTCTTAGATTCTGCGAACCTCTCTTTGTCGTAGGCATCGACCAGGTAAACAACAGCATCCACCTGGAAAGCCAACATGGGTGAGAAAAGAGAATTCCATAGCCATATCCAACGACTCTATGCAGCATTGGAGTCATTGCAGCAGTTTGGGCAATGATAAGTTAAAAGCTTGGGAACCCTTTGATTTGAGAAAATGTTTTTGTCTTTTCTATTTTTACTTTTATGAAAATGCAACCTTATTTTCACTTTGTTTCCTAATTTCAAAAGTTTGCGTAAGAAGCATTGAAAAGAAAAAGAAGCTATTTTGAGTTCAAGCATTTGACATACAAACTTTTGAAACTGGAAACATTAAACAAAGTGTAAACAAGGTGATACTTTTGTAATTAAAAGTGGAAATAGAAAAAATTTTCTCATAAAGGAATCACCAACCTTCGAGTTAAATTACATAAAAGGCAGAAAAAACAAATGAGTGAATCTAGCATATAGCAGATCTGATGAACAGAAAGGTGATGCACCTAGATACTAAGCAATAATTACCAAACAAACTTCAAGATTTTGTTTCTAGATACTCCTCTCAAGGAGAAAGGAAATGTCAATTTACTACTGTGCTTCTGATGCTTAAAAAGGATGGTTCATTGTCTTGTAAAGTCTAACAAATATCCCTTTACACAGATCTATAAATTTGTTAACGGTTCCTCTTCTCGTGTTCTTCTTTTCTTATTCATTAGAGGAAAACAGGACATGTTTGGAAGACAACTAGTAAACACCTCCAGAAAGGTTTAAAGGGGTGCTATCAGCGAAACTTCCACTGTCAATATTTGCCTCCCATGAATCAGATAAATACAAAGAGCTTCATCTGGGATTATGAAGGCATAGATCACTTAAGAAAATCAAGCAAATAGTTGTGTCACAGTACATTATTAACCACGAGAACACATAAGAAAAAGTAACATTCAAAGATTTACAAAAATATCAACAATACATCAATAAAAAAAAATCACCAGAACAAGCACCTCATCTGAAAACCCAGCACTCCATATGGAAAGTGAATACTGATGAACAAACCACTGAAGCCAGCATGCAACTAAGGGAACTATGTTTAGCGGAGAAGTCATACCCAACAAACATATTAGATGCAATATTTAGAAATACTATTAAGTATTAAGAAATAAATACGATACAATGAAGTTAAGAGCCTATAGGAGCTACAAGCACCAGGGCTTTGAACATAATGATAACATCAACATAACCTAGTCAAAAGCAATTGGGTCAACAAAAAACAATTACAAATACCAAAAACCTATCACCAGCAACACACTCCATCCCATCCAACTGAAAAGCAAATAGGGCACTAAAAAAAAATAAACACTTGAAAATCATTCACTATCTAAATTAATATCATATTAGGGACAGTAAATGATGATAACAAAGTGAAACCAAATAGAAAGGCGAATAATATGAGAAATTGATAATGAAGGAAAAAAAAAAAAACCTTTGCATAATAGTCTTTCCAGACTCTGCGGGCAACTTGATGACCACCCAAATCGAAAGCTTTAAACTTGATCTTCCCAATGCTCAATTCCTCCGAAGTGGGGTGTTGGGTCGGCTGGTGCTGAACTAATCTCTGAAATCGAATTTGAAATGAAAATAAAAAACCCATTTTTATTTTGTGAAGGATGAAGAGAGAGAAAAGGAAGGTACCTCATCTTTGAGCATGTGAAGAAGGGTGGTCTTGCCGGCATTATCGAGACCGAGGAAGAGAATCTTAGCTTCTTTCTGCCAGAGACCGAGGGAAGCCAGAATGCCATAGAACCAGTCGAAGAGGAACATGATTCTGTTCCGTTCTGTTCAGATCCAAACCCCAGAGTGGAAAAGAGAGAGAAAGAGAGAGAAACGCAGATCGGAGGAATAGGATCTCACAGTGAGAGAGAGCGAGAGATCCTAGATCACGTGTCTGCTCATGTGGTGAGAATGCAGCTCTGTTTTTTCGTTTATTTTTCTTTTATTTTGTTTTGATTTGCTTTGATTAATTTGTCACAGTATTTCTAAGCCTTTCCTTTTCCAACAGGACACACAGAGGAGAGGACCATGGTAAGAGGTAGGTGGTTGGTTGGCCCTGTGAGCTCAATTGTGTGAGTAGGTGTGATTTTCATTCACACCCTTTATTTATATATACTTTTATGTTTTTCTTTTTCTTTTCTGCTGATTAGACACAAATCATATTTATTTTATCCTTTTCATAGCAATCTAGGATTTTAATTATTTTTTTTTTTTTACATTCAGCTTTGTTATATTTTTTTTACCATCAAATCAAGTTTATAAATAAAAAATAAATGATCATTTAATGTTTTTAATAATTTTGTATATCATCTTATAGTATTATGAAATAATTATAAATCTTCCAATTTATGTTTTTATAAATTCTCTTTATTATTAACTAAAAATATATTTTCTTTTTCCAAAATAAAAAATATATGATATTTTATTTAATATTCATTTTATAAAATAAGGAGATGATTAATAAAATTATATATAAGGGAAGTAAGAAATTTTTTCTATTTTGTGGTTCAAACTTAATTTGTTTGTATAAGTATATTTTTTATTTAATGTTGAATGTGATGATGATCTTCATATTTTGTGAGTTAAATTTTAGAAAGAAAAAAATGATATAATAATAACTCTTATTTGAAAGGTTTTAAGTGTAATCAAAATTCTTTATGAATCATTTAAGCTCTCTTGAATTACCGTTTTAAAATATTCTTTAAATTAAAATATTTTTTCAACTCTCATTTTCACCCTTCTTATCTTTTCTTTTACCTGTTAAACTTTTTATTCCTTTGTTTTTCTAAATTTTCAAACAATTCTTAAACTATTAAACTTATTTAGTTAAAAGCTGTGTATAATTGTTTCAAAAAAATTATTGTGTGAATATAATTCAAATAAATGTATAACTTAATTTAAACCACAATTTTTAAATCAAAACAAATGCTTTTCTTTAAAAAAATGCACAAAAAATAAGCATTCATAAGGCAAATATAAATAAAATTTGGAATGGTACATTATCTCATAATAAACCAAAATGTACGAATTTAACTTAGAAAAAGGGTAACATAATATCAGTTTAAATTTAAAAAAAAAAGCCTAATTATCATGTGTTTCAACATGTTTTGGATTAAAAAAAAATCCTAGTTTTTTTTTATAGAAAATTCTATAAAAATAACCAATTATTACCTTAAAAAAATCATTTTCAAACATGCATGCTTACTTATGATCATAATATTAACTTTCATAATTTCTTAATTATTAAAGTTAAGTTTGTCACCCTATAATTTATTAATTAATTAATAGAAAAAAGTAATGGATGTGAGATATATGACATTGATCTATATAAATTAATAAAAATATATGTAAAATATTTAAACAAAAAAAAAATACTTGTAACTCTTATTTAATACATTTTGTTTTATTTATATTTTGAATGTTTTGCACAATTTTCATTACAAATAAACTTGCTCCAAAAACATTGTTGCATGTGAAGAGTTAGGCAAATCTACCAAACCTTCTAATTGCTTTCTTTATTGTTGGTTTCCTTCATATTTCAACATTTGATATAAGAGTCTTAGGTGATGATTCAAAGGTGGCTGCTCTGAGGGAACATTTGATAAGGTAGTCTCACGTTATTGGTTCAAAGGGAGTTTAATATTCTCAATAATAATAATATTCTTATTTTCACTCGAGTAGCTCTAGTTTTTTCCTATATAAAAAAATAATACAAGTGTAGTTCTTTTATTTTTACTCTAGTTTGGATCTTTGTTAGATCAAAAGTAAGAAAATTTCAGGGATTATTATATTTTTAAAATTATTTAAATATTTTTTATTTTGTTCTCTATTTTAAATATTTGTACAGGAATATTGAAATCAATTTTTTAAAATTTTTTTTATAAATCTTAAAAAATAGAAAACAAAAAAGGCAAAGATTTCTAATTAAAAGCGAAAACAATAAATATAAATAATTCAAAAATAAAAAATAATTACTTTCTAAAAACTTCATTAAAAGTGCATTAAACACAGTAAAATAGATATTTTATTTGTATACAAACAGGTTGTATATTTTAAACTACCCGTAATGACATTATACTTCCAACGTACCCTGTTTCCTAAGCTCATGATTTGACCATCAAGTGAAAAATTAAAAAAAATTCAGAATTTTTAACTTGTTATATTGTTAGTTTAAGAGCTCTTTAATTACTATAAGTAAAATCCTATTGACAATAGTAAATAGGGGTGAGAACCCTAATATTAGCAAACAAACCATATAATTCAGATCATAATACATGTATTTAAATACATATAGTGTAATAATTTAAGTACAAATGTTTTTTTAATTGCTTTCAGAGATATAATTTTAAAATATATAAAATATTATTTTAAAAATTTTATAAATTAATAACCTTATGCTATTTGTTATTTCATTTATGGATATAGATTTTGAACCTGATTTTGCTTTTACATGGAAAGCTGCAGGGTATTATCGTCATTAAGCGGAGAAATATGTAAAAGGCAAAAGGGTCTTCGTGTCAAAAGGTCATTTATATAAAAGGCCATCTTCGAAAACCCAAGCCGGCCGAACAGCACCTTCACTTTTCATTTGCAATTAGGGTTCGTATCTTCGATTTCTCTCGCTAAATTCTTCCAACTGCGCGTTTTAATTTGCCCCTTCCCTTTTCGCCTTCCTCTAATTGTTTGTGCGTTGATTGCAGAGATGGCAAAGTCGAAGAACCACACAGCTCATAACCAATCCTACAAGGCCCACAAAAATGGCATCAAGAAACCTAAGAGGCATCGCCACAGTTCCACCAAAGGGGTAAATTTTTTTCGTTTTTGGCTTCTCTTTTCTACTGATACGTAGATTTTTTTTTTTCAATTATTGGGTAGTTAAATTATATTTAGTTTTTTTAAAAATTATTTTTATTTGTATTTGTTATCGGGAATTGTAGATGGATCCCAAGTTTCTGAGGAACCAGAGGTACGCGAGGAAGCACAACAAGAAGAGTGGTGAAACAGCCACAGAAGAGTAGTGAAGGGGCATTTTCAAACGGAACTGTTAGGGTTTTTTTAAGCTTTTTTTTAATGGTGACATTTTTTTCAACTTAATCTGCAGTATTATAATTAATTCCTTCACAGAGAATGCAATACTGTTAGACCATTTTTCGTGGTTTCTGTTAAGAGGATTTTTTATCAATGGAATATTAAGGTGTTTGTGTTTTCAGACACTGCTGCGGCTATGCTCATGTCAGAATCTTAAATTTGCAGCTTTTGACAGTTGAAAGAAAGGGAGGTAGCTTTTGATTTTAATGGTTAGAACTACATTATACCTCTGGGTTTACATTTAATTGGGAAGAAACTTAGATTTGCATAACTTCAACATGTACCCAAAATAAAATTGAGTGAATGGAGTTTTGGAGATACCCAAACTAACTTAAGCTTAGATTTGCACTACATCAAGAATGGTTGTATCTAAATTGATCCTAATCCTTTTCATAATATTTTTTCGTACAGAATATTTCTGTTATGATGTTCATCATAGGCTAGAGAATTTTTTGGGCAATTTCCTCCAATAGAAGTAAATGTATAGGTTCACCTGTTTGGGCAGTTCAGAGAATTTCCTAGGACATTATTATAGTAATGAGTGGAACCACCATTTACAGAGGTGGTGGGTTTGAATTTCGTTGGGAAATCTTTCCCCAAGAATTTAGTCGGTGTTGACTCTAGTTGTCGGATCGAAGTTCCTATTGTACGAACTTAATTATTTACCAAGGGGGAATGAGAAAGGGGCAATGCACTGACTGAAGATTGAACCCCAACCTGCTTTTGGGAATGTCTCAGCCTCTTTTCAATTGAGTTGCTATTGGGGGAGATGCTACGTTGAGGGGACATACTATACAAACCTTTGATAGAAGTCGCAACCTCTTAATTTACCAGCGCAAAGTTAACTGCGCTTGATGTGGTTGAAGATTTATGGGTAATGGATAAGAAACTCAATTTTGTACACTGTTAAAATCGTTATAATCTACGAACTATCCGGACTCCAATCCACCTTTTCAGTCGATAGGATTTAGAACTGTCCTTCATTAGTGGCTTGAGAGCCTGAGAGGGAACTGTTGTAAAATGGTTGATTTGGAAGTTGACGGCAAATGTGACTCCTAACCTTGTCTGAGTAACCAATATGGGGTGTTCCTATATGAACAAGAATGGATGGTAAAAGATGAACTTATACTGTATCTATATGCCGCACCTGTTTATTTTAGGATTTGGTAAAACTTTGGAAAAATTAACTTAAAAAGAATTAATTGTATTTGAAGAGGATTGTTAAAGAAGATCAATTTTATTTGAACAGGAAAATAAAATCACTATCGAAATATATTTTTTTTTTTGGGTTTAATAGTACACTGATTCAGTTTTATTTGCTAAACAATTATAAATTACTTCTCTCAAAACTTTACGTATTTTAAAATTATTTTTTTCAGCATCTCTAAAATTTGCTAAACATAAATTTTAAACGTTTTTCAACCACAATGTAAATTATGAATTCTTTTGAGCAATAGTGAAAAAGATGTCTCAATGGATCATCTCTCTAACTTTCCCACATGATCCAATCTTTGTACGATAAATCGGAATTTATAAATAGTGCATGAAAAGTACATCTTATTTTAATCTCTCTTTTTTTTCAAACAGTGCAATAAAATAAATTAAATGGATTAACATATCGGGAACCAAGGTGGATAGTGCGTGACAGCGTGACCTTGATTATATCAGGAACTCATGGATGCTCTGAGGTTCATATTGCCATGGCAATAATTTGATTGGAAAGACCGATGCCAGTTTGCCAATAACAGCATGGAGACAGAACAAAGAAATCATCAAGCAACGCGTAGTGGATTGCATTATTGTCAACACGGTTATTTCTCGAGAACCTTACAAGAAAATTTTATTTCATGTACGGGTTCAAAACTGGAATACTCAGAAAAACAGGCCACTCTGAAAGGCCTCCTAAAACATGAAGCATCTACACCATAAATTTAGAGGAAACGTGTTTCTAAAGTGCAAAAATAGAGATTATAAGTATTTTGGTGGACAATAACAGTGTCCCAAGAAAATAATATATCATCACCATCCATTCTCAGGTCATTGCCAAGACTCCTTCAAACGGTTCCCTCTTACAGGATTCTAAATGTGCCGAAGCATTCCGCCAGAAGATGTGAGATATTTTGAAACTTTCTAGTAAAGGCAACGTTCGTTAAAAAACATTGGGAAGATTAAACTGCAACCGGTTCCTTTACTGGGCCAGAAGCTTGTGCCTTAACCTGCCTTGGTAAGTGGCAACACGTATTTAAGCACCAGGCACAACAACCTATATGCGTGAGTGCAAGTTGGAAGTAAAATAGCAAATTATGGGTATCTCACCTTTGCTGATTTGAATAGCTCATCAAGCACCTCAGACAAAGTCGGATGAGCATGAACCGCAAATTTTATATCCTGCATTGCACGACAACAACGTTGGAATTACCTAATAGACAAGGATAGAAACTAGAAAGATTCTTGTGGCTATTCACATTTATTTTATCCACAAAAAAATAGACTAGGGGTATGTTTTGAAGTTCAATTTTGGAGGAAAAAGAAGGGAAAATTTTCATTTTTCATAAATATTCTCTAATTTCATATTTTTTAAAAAGAAATAAAATGATAAATTAGTATAAATTTCATGTGTTAAATTTTTATTATTATATAACACTTGATTTAATATAATATTTGCCCTCTCCTTCCTTTCTCTCCCAACCCAACTCTTAATCATACCCTAAAAGAACCTTCTTCGTCAATATAGCACATGCAGCATAAATAACTAAAGGCTCTCTCACATTTGACAGTTTGGCAGGAAAATTTACTTGAATACGTGTTCCTAATGCTATTGCATTGGATGCCTCGTGGATAAGATCAGCAGCATGCAACCCAAAAATATGAACCCCTAGAATCTCTCCATTGTCAGGTCTGTATATCAACTGCACGAAAACAGCTAAAATATAGTTAGAAATAACATTGGTATCACCAAAGTAAATCTTCGCGTCGATAATTCATGTCAGCTTCTAACAGTCAGGTCCAATTTGCGTTAGATTATTTTTGGTTGACCAAGAGATCCCTATCTGGATCTAAGGGGAGAATGGGAAAATGGCATGTAGAGGGATCAAATCCGTCATCCATAGCAGCATCCTGATGTTTAAATACCTAGTGAGTCAAGGCTCACTGGTTGTTTAGATTTTGGAGAACCCATAATCATGTTTGGGTAGTTCGACAAAATCAATTCTCACATTTTCCAAGGTTGGAAAAATGATTGCAAGATCAAGACTATAAAATAAATTTTAGCACGGAAGACCCGGTAATTTTCCAAATATATCCCTATAATCACGCTTCAAAAGCCATTGCGCCTTATGATGCTCAAACCAATTTTAAAATCAAATCCTTTATCACCATTTACCATTTCCTTTACAATCTAACCCAAACAAGCACTTCATAAGCTTTTGTACAACACAGTATTAAGAGAAAGATACAGAAATATAACCTTGGCAAGACCCTCCCCTTCGTTTTCTGCTAAAGCCTTCGTGTTTGCTTTAAAACTTGTTTTGGCAACACTTACTTCAAAGCCCTCCTTTTCACCTTTCTCCCTTGCTTGAGGCTGCATATAATATGTTTGATCGTAGTACATGAGTTCATCTAAGTGGATAAATAGTAGTAATAAATAAGGGGAAAGGGGGTGACAGAGCAGAAGAACAGAGGAGGGGACATTTAGCCATGTGTATGAAGGTGAAACAAGCAGCAGGTGGAGGATGAAGCATAAACCAAAAGAAAAATATGATTACCTCAGTCAATCCAACCATGCTGATTTCAGGATGAGTGAAACAAGCAGCTGGTATGCTTAAATGATTAAGCACATGATCTCTTCCAGTGACTTGTTCAACCACTGTCCACAATCTTTTCATTTAAGTAAATGGAAGCAGGCAAATGACTTGAATGTTCATTGCAAAATTACATAGCTTGCTTCTTACCTGAGATTCCTTGTGCGCTGGCAGCATGAGCAAGCATCATCTTGCCATTTGCATCACCAATACAATACAAATGAGGGACCTATCATTCCATACCCTAAATCAGTAACAATAGGTCAGCCCAAGAGAAAAATAATGTGTGCATGAGATATTTGAAACAAACCAAGTTTCCATTGGCATCAATTACTCGCATGCATTCATCCACAGGAACAAAACCACGCTGTGTTACAACATTAATCTGCAGGAACTTGTAAAGTATCAAATCACTTCCTTGGGGAAAGCATTTTATCCTAAAAACAATGTTCAAAAGGCATACATTCTCCAATCCAAGACCTTGGGTGAATGGAGCCCTTCCAGTTGCTATTAGTGCAGCATCCACCTATAGCAAAGCATAAGCAGGTCTTGAAACAATTCAGTAACTAAATATGTCAGGTAAAGATGTGTGGCTATGTGTGTGTCTAACTGTGTATTAAATATGATCTATAATTGAGATTTTTCATGTAGTTTCAATGTTACTACACTTGTAAATCCTATACTTAGCACCACAGATATTCATGTATTTCAGCTTGTACTACTAAATTCAATGGATATACATAAGCTACTAGTCCTTACAGGTAAGCACAGTCAACTGTAAATTTAGAAAAGTGGCAAGGTGGAGCTTTTAGCACCACAGATGTTCATGTATTTCGGCTTGTACTACTAAATTCAATGGAGATACATAAGCCACTAGTCCTTACAGGTAAGCACAGTCAACTGTAAATTTAGAAAAGTGGCAAGGTGGAACTTTTGAACATTAACCACTTTTGCCCCCAACTATGCAACAGTCAAAGAATTGTCTGCCCCAGCATAGCTACATGCACGTGTACAGTTCTCTCTATGCTATATTGAAGATGAGTATATTAACCACTTCAGAATTTTTCAAACGTGATCAGATTTCATTACAAGGTCTCATACCATGAGAGCATGCTGTATTAAGAGAGTCCTAATAAGTATATGACAACAGGTTACTACTAAATATAAGCTTGTTCCATGGTCACAAGTTTTCCAATCAACCTTTGCCAATTAGTATTTCAGGGGAAGAAGTTTTAACAGTTTAAAACAAAGTGATTAACTAAAAGCTTTCAGGAAAAAAGTTAATGTACCTCTAAAGTTTCCTTTTGTTCCTTGGTCTTCGCATCAATGAGCTCAATTGTGACAGGTTTTCCATCTCTTGCAGGAGTGACCTATATAGGGAACTTGATGACTATGACAATTCAAAGTAGCTACCCAGAAAAAAATTATAGAAGAAATTACCAGAGACCTTAGATGCAAAAACCCCAGTATGATAGTCAATATTCCGGGGGTTAATGAGAACTCTCTGAGCCAACTTGCTAATTTCAGGATCAAATCCAGGCATGAGCTGATCTAAAGCTTCAATAAAAGTAACCTGCAGAGTACCATTATCGTCAACTATATCCCTTCTGCATAATTAGGCTTCTAAATTTTACAAGTAATGATTTATTTTTCTTTCTTGTACTAATAAAAACAAAATTATGAAAAAAAGAAAAAGAAAAAGGACATAGTATAAAATGTCCTTCAAATGTCATAAAACACTAAAAACAAGCAAACAATGGAGAAAGGAAAAAAGTATCAGAAAAGTGCTACCTCACTTCCAAGTGCCGTATATACATCACTGAATTCAAGCCCAATATAGCCACTTCCTACAATTGCTATCCAATCAGGAACAGTCTCCAGTTTGAGAGCATGGTCACTGGTAATCACAGTCTTCCCTGAGTGCATTTGCTTGGTGAGTTTTTATTAATGATACAAAATAAATCTTACAAGAAATAAAAAAAGAGAAAAACAAGACCGACAGTATCAGTAGAGTACTAAACAAAGATTACCATCCCCTTATGCACATTTCATTGTAGCCTAATATACTATCAATCCAAACATATCTCCAAAACTAAATTGATCACTTCTTTTTATCTATTGCATGCTGTCTATTCTCTGGTCCAGTCTTATCACACTCTACTTTTGAAGCCACTTGGAGCTTGACATGTTGGTTGTCATAGACGGTTTTGTATATACCATATTCTTGTAGCTGGAACACATGCCTAGAACTAATCCTCACCGAGTGGTGCTAACATAAAACAACTGTGTCGTGAAGAAAAAAGATAAATATGTAGCGTGTGGTGTACCGTCAACTTCAATGCCCTTGGGAACAAAGGGAACAGAACCAGTAGCAATGATGATGTCTTTTGCAGTTACCACATTGTTGGAAGAGCCAACTTTCACCTTTTGAGGACCCTGTGTTAATTCACAAATAAGCCAGTCAATGAAAAGTGTTGAAATCTCCATTGGTAGTTTTGTGATTCAAATTCAAGCCTTGGCGCTCATAACAATGTCATTTACCAAAATGGCTCCAAAACCAGTGAGGATGTCCACTCCAAGTGCTTTCAATGAATTGGTCAAGTTGCCACGGATTTTCGAAGCAAGATTATTAGCATGATCAGCCACTGCTTGTCTGTCATACCCAGCAGCAGAAACCTGAAATACCAAAAACCAACTAATCACACAACTAATCTCTCTACCATGAAGCAGACTATCTTCTAAACACATTTCGACACATCTTCCATTCTGATACAAAATTTTTTTACCTGTAAGCCGAGCGACTTCAAGTGATGATCATCCCGCAACTCTCGCATACGACCACTAACAGCCAAAAGAGCTTTAGAAGGAACACAACCTCTGTTCACACACGTTCCTCCAACCACGTCTCCCTCGACAATGGCCGTTTTCAAGCCCTGCAAAGTCCAAAACCCTCACAACATAAAACTTACAGCAATTCGCAACTTCTTCATTGATTAAATTAAGCAAAACTTAAAACAGCTGACATCAATTCAGCTGATTTTTCCAATTCGATACAGAGAGAGAGAGAGTAAGCTTTCGTTTCGACAATCAAAATTTTGGAAGAGAAAGCAATTAGTGCACCTTCTCGACGGCATGAAGCGCGGCGCCGTGACCACCGACGCCGGCGCCGATGATGAGCAACTCGTAATCAAAGGAGTTGGAAGGGGTGCCGTTGTCGGAAAGCGCAGCGGATACTGCGGTGGAGTGTGAGCGACGGTAGTAGTTGAGGGAAGTGGAAGTGAATGCCTGGCGCCTAAGACCGCAGAAGCGGAGATTCAAAGGCGCAGAAGTGCGAGTGGGGATGGGAAAAGAGTGGCGTGACTCCCAAATGGAAGCAGCGTAAGAGGAAGAGAGCGAAATCGTTGATTGCATTTGGGAAACACAGAGAGATCTGTGCGCGCGCGCGAGTGAGGGGGAGAGAGATTTTGGAATAGTTTGTTGATTTGCGAGTTAGACAGAGGGCGGAGATATCCAAAAGTGCGGTGTGGGCGGATAATTTCATAAAACCACCGTTTTGGTAGTTTGTTTGCTATAGGTATCTTCCTAAAAATTCATAACATGTACTCACGGACTATATAATCATTATTTATATTTTTTAAACTTATATAAATAATGTGAAGTGTTTTGGCAGTTTATTTTTTTTTATGAATTTTTATTTTAAATTTACTAAAATATGAATTTTTTATAAAATTACATAAATATAATTTTTTTAATGTCAATGATGATTTTATTCGTCAAATAATTAATTATGGTTAAAAATCGTTATTATTATTTTAAATACATAAAATAATATACTTTTATTCTTAAAAGTTATTGTTAGTGAGATTTGTAAAAAAAGATTAAAATGTAATTAAAAAACTACTATTAATGACTTTTGAAAAATAAAAAGTTATTCTTAAAGTCAAAAGTTGCTACTTATGAACTTTAATTCTATTAAATTATTAAAAAAATATTGGGTAATATAAAATCTTTGTTAGTATTTTTTAATTGTAAAGATTATAAATACTGCAATTCGTACCAATAACAAATCATAAATAAATTTTTTTAAGTATTTGTATCCTTAGTTCCATTATGTGTTTTTTTTTTTAAAAATAAGTATAACAATGACATATTTTAAAAGTGAAATTGTAACAAACATGAATGAAAGTATGTCATTTATATGCAAGAAGAATATGTGTATATTCTATAATGTATCATTTGAAAATTTGAAGTATTGACTTAGTCAATGGATTAAAATTTAATGTCTAAAAACAATGAAAAATATTGTGTATAAGTGTCCAATATCAATATTTTATAATTTCATGAAATATTATACAATTTTAATAACTAATAATGATAATATTGAATAAATATTTTAGATACATTAGTAGTGTCATCCCTCAACTGATATCATTAAGTTATATGTTATGTTTCAAAAACAATGAGCTACAAAAAACATATGTGAGCACCATGTCAAAAAGAAAAATAGAATAGGAACAAAACAACACCGAAAATGATGATAACAACTTTAAAAAAAAATATGCAACGTCCATTTGGGGAGTCACATCTTGATGTTATGCATGCATCTAAGTTTTTAAAGTTTGCAAACTTAGGTACGTAAAATTTATAATTATGTTGGTGAATTTAACTTTATTTTTGTTAATTAGTTTATGATTGTCATGTTAATTTATTTCAACCCATTTTCTCAATGAAATGAATATGCGTCAAATGAGACAACTACCATGGTGCAGTCTTTATCGAGGGATAATCATAGTTGAAGGCGTTATCCCCATTCTTTTTGGCCTAACTCATAGTATGGAGTAATGATGATTTATTTGTTCTAATGTTATATTATTGTTCTTCTTTAATATTAACATAATTGTCTTTTATATTAATGTGTTTATATTGTCATGTTGTAATTTTTTTAATTATTCGCAGTTGTTTATTTAATATTAAATCTTATTTTATTGCATTATAGACATAAACAAAAGTGGTTTAACAAAATCACTTACAACTTAATTTAAATATAGAAATTACAATAACCATAGCATAAATAAACCTTAATATTCAATTATATTACTAACACATAAATTAAATTATAATTATGGATAAAAATATGACTATTCGTCTTCTCCCTTTTTTTCTTAATTAATGAATGACTATATTTAACAAGACATGTTTAAAGGGACATAATGCGTGCGAAAGAAATATTTGTTTTTTTGGTTGACTTGTATCATCTCTTACTCCTTAAGTGGCTATGTTCTCATCTATTCCACCATCATATGTTTTGCTTGGGGTCTGCCACATGCATGGATGGTTGGGTAATTATGTCATCTTGTTATGTCAACTCCCACAAGTAGATTGACATGGATCATTGCTCACTTTGTGAGAATATCGGCTGAGAAGTATCCACATATTGTAGTGTCACAAGTTATGATTGATACACATCCTCCTTATCTACACTTATATTTTGCATAGTTGCCTTTTCATTTAGGTCAAAGTGACATTGCAGATTTTTCCAGGAAGGTGAAGCTTTATCTAAAACAAAATCATATGTTGAAAGAAATCTACGAAAAAATGTACTTATAATGCTACAATCAATAGACCTTCTACCTCGTTCCTCCGTGCTCATATGTTGAAAGAAATCTATGAGAAATTTCACTTATATTGCTACAATCAATAGACCTTCTACCTCATTCCTCCATGCTTCTCAAAACACAATGGACATCTTTTTTACTTATGGACATTCGTCCTTTATGTTCTTGTGTGGGTTGCTCATTCCATTGAAAGGGTTGCTACTTGTTCTTTTTTGATGACCAATAGTACTCTTCATTTAGTTGTACATAAGTTGGTGGAATCCCTTGTGGCTAGGTAGGTAGTGCATTCATGAGAATCTCTTCATATTAGTTCCATAGGCAACAATTTTTTTTAGGATGATGGCTCCTCCATATGTGGGGATAACCATATCCAATCTATTGCATATAATATGTATCATGCTCAATATTCATTAGAATAATAGAAATTCTTGGTTAGAATTCTTTTTAAGATATATTCACTTCGATGCTCCCCCACTGTTACCCAATCATCGTGTATGAGTCTTTAAGTCTTTGGTTCTCTTACTTTTTCATAAGTTTTTGCATATTACTCTATAACTTTAAACAAATCAAGGAGCTAACAATTTACCACATTAGTCATTCACCTTTCACGTCTTCTGGAATTACAACATGAATTTCATCATCCACATATGATGCCCATTAATACTGCAGCAAATAAAATATCTTAGTTTTATAATCATATAAAAAATTTGTAGAGAAAAATCTAACATATAAATAAGAATGTATAAATTTTTACCTCACGAACATCTATCTGATCTAGTGATAACTTGATATTTCCAAGATTTCTAAACTGAGTATTTGCTGGATATTGCAACTGTCTCTATCTAAGAGCAAGTAGAAATATTATTGGTCCACCCAGGATTGGAGCCAACCACGATAATTGATGTCATGCCCATACCCATAGAACTATGAAGCAGTCACAAATTTCTTTAGCATCGTGTCATAAACCACAATATAGCCCTCTATAAAGAAATGACTAACAACCTCACTATAATTACCAATTTGATTAATATTTGTCAACAAATGCAAGAATTTTGCTAATACTACGGAGTTACTTTTATTCAGCATCATAGCATGTCTCAACAAACAAAGTATATACTCACGAGCACGTTCTTAAATCCTAATATTAAAATTAATAGGAAGCCAACTAAAGTGTTGTGTTAGCCACTTTAATATAATTTATGATCTTTCAGTGTTGTTTGATTAAGGTGATGCATTGTTGATCTAATGTACGAGCAACGTAGAAATATCTTATAATGTTACTATGTATTCTTTATCTAGTAAGTGAAATGTATGTATTTCAGGCATTTACTGTTTCACAAGTTTGAAAAATCCAATCAAAGTCAAGATGTCGTAAAATGTTATTTTTTTTGCATAGATGATATTATCAATAAGTAACGAGACTGTAATAATCTCATCACATATTACAAATCATAAAAAATCAATCAAGTAAGTAGTTTAACATAAATAAAATTTACAATAATAGTAATAATTTTTTTAATATTAAATTGTTATCGCAGTTGTGAAAATCAAGATAGTTTGATATATGTTAAAATTTTATGAGTTTTGCATTTTTAATGGTAAAATAAAATTTTATAAATAAAAAAATTAAAGTTTTGCCAATCATGCTGGCAAAATTATGACACATGATAAAAAAATATAAGAAAAAAATTAGTTTTAAAAAATTATATTTTGATAATTTATTAAAAAATAATATTTAAATAAAAGTACCACCATTGTCTCTCTTGCCATAACTACCACTGTAATTATTGCTATCTCATGAAGTGGGAAACAGATATTTTATAGTTTTGGTAGAACTTACAATGTATTTTTGTTTAAGTAAAGAAATTTTTAAGCGAAAATGCACTCCCTCGTCCTCTCGCATTCCCAGCCCGCCTCTCTCCCACCCCTCTCTCCCTCAAGATCAAGAATAAAACTGATGAGAGTTAAAGAATTGATAATTGAGGAACTTTTAAGAACGCAGCGATAAAAGTATGAAGGTTGCGGATGAAGAGAAAACCTTTGCTAATATAAGTGTGGACAACCATCTGGGAGTTAAATTTTAATTAAAACTTATTATAATTTTCGAATAAGTAAATAAGAGAGGAGCCTCAAATCGTGAGGATAGAGGAGAGAACTTTTTCCAGTCTCGTTAATTATAGTGTTTTTTTGTTGCGTAAGAATTTAATGACATTATTTTGTTAATAATATATTCTATTATATAATTAATGATTAAATTTTTTAAAAAAAATTTAAAAATTATGTAAATTTTATTCTTAATTTAATATATTTATAGTTTTTAATGTTTTTAACTAATAATTAATAGTTTGTTAAAAAAATATGTATATTAAATAATGCGTTGTCAATATTACTTCTTTAGCTATATTTGTTTTTTTTTCTTTTTTTATTTTTCACATGTTTAAAATTTTTTATTCATTCATCTAGATGAAAAAAATATAATCCGAACAATATTTTTATCAACATTTTCTTTTCAGATAATTAATAAAGAAACTTATTACTATAATTATAAAATTTGGCTTTTAAGGGTGAATTACGGTGCGGTGACTTGGTTGACAAGTAATAAGAAGATTTAAATTAGTTTTGTATTTAAACTGGTACAAACTAATTTGAATCAGCTTAAAATTGGATTGAATTAGTACTACGTTATTAAATTGAACTAACTTTATAAAAGACCAATGCAAAGATGCATTGCTAAACTGATAATTTACGCAAATAATATCAACCATGACATTTTAAGCAATTTATAATGCTTTTGTTTTAATGTTTATTATATACGTAGAAGTTTTAAAAAATGGCAAATAGAAAACAAAAAAGAAGCCGTTGAATTGTATTCAAGCATGAGTGCTTAGACAATTCTGAAGAAATAAGTAAGATTGTGCAATATTTTGTATTTAACGATCAAGTATATATTTACACTTGCCAAATTGTTCAGAGAAAGGTTCTTTCAAATCAATTATAAACTTTTAACCCTTTTTTAGTTTAAGTAAAAAATAATAGTTACGGAATAAAAATGACATGTTCTTAACTTGTTTTATCCTAAATGATGTGTGCTATGCTTAGTTTTTTACCCTTTAATTTTCTTTTTACTGTCACAAAAAGTATTTGACACAAATTTATGTATCACGAATTCATGATTTATATTTATTATCCACAAAAAAAATAAAAAAAAATTAAGTATTCTTATACTTAATAAATACAAATGATAACTCATTGATTAATTTCTTTTGATAATTTGACTCATTGATTGAACCAATAAATCGGTGACCACAGGTTGCAAAATAGGCTTACTCACTCAACAGTTAATTTTAATGATTTAAGTTGTTCAAGGTAATTCACCTTATTTAATCTGACATTCCTAACTTGTGATATGAAGTGGATCAAAGTCTTCCAACTTGTCAATTTTTAATATTATTTGGGTTCTTTTTATAATATTTTAAAACTAAATTCCATGTATTAATTTTTTTTAATAGTTATTAACGTATTAGTTTTGTAAAATTAATTACAAGATTTAAAATATATGTTGTTAAACTTTATTGTTAACCTTTATATATAATTTATAAATATAAAATTAAAATAAGAGCATTTTTAGAAATCTTCTTAAATAAGAGCACTTCTAAAAATTTACATTTTCTATCATGCTAAATAATATATTTTTATATTCAATATTTATATTAAATTTGATATTAATTTAAAATTTCATAATTTAATAATACCTGTGAAATAAAAAAGTCACTAATACATTATTTTTTAATAAGTTAAACAAAAGATAAATATGTAGAAAAATATTAAATATTCTCAAAATTTTATAAAAGAATTCATATTAGACATTATTATTATTTTATACTGATCCATTATTAGAAACTGCAATTCCAAATTTATCCTTCCATTGTTTTGAGATTAAGTTGTCCTTCATTAATCTTTAGTAATAAAAGCAAATAGGCTCTATATCATATTTAAATATTTCTTCGTCAACTTTGTGATTTAGGAATGTCTTATTATGGGGTAATTAAGAAAATGGCCTTTTATATATAACAAGATGTTCCTAATTAACCTTTTCCTGGAGCTTTATACGACTTTCATAGGGTGATGGAGGTATGAAGGTAGAGTCTTGCTTTCATTCTTTCCTTTCCAACAGATACATGCTTTTTCTTTCAATAAATCCAATAAATCTTTATTCAAAAAATAAATCTTTAAGAGCTTATTATTTTTACTTTAATATTTTTTCTCAATTTTCTATTTTTTGTGCTACTCAATTTGCTACAGAATACTCAAAAAATGGAATGCGTTGATTTTTTAAAATAAAAAAGTCAAATAGTTCCATTATTTTTTTATGGCTTGACTAAATAATTAAATCAAATTTAAAAGCCACTCAAGTAATTAATATTTTTAACTCTTGTTTATTTTAAAGTTGCTAAATTAGGTTTTATACGCTATAGTGAAAATACATATTTTCATATAAACATGTAGTTTTAAAAATATAAACATACATCTTAATTATATTTAGTGATTAAAAATTAATTTTATTAAAATTAAAATTTTCCTTTGGTCAAATTAAAATTAATTCTTTCAAATTTCAAAGTCTAAAGGAAACGAACACTTATTGACTCTGTTCGTAAAGTTTCTTCGTATTTTTCTCAGGTTTCTGTTATGCTTAGAAATGGACACTGGACACGCAAGGGCACTCAAGTCAATGGTGCATTCGTAATTTCAGTGGGAAGCCAGTGGCATTTTCGGTAGTCCATGAATGCGTTATTGTTTTCTACTCCTCCTTTTGCTTAATCGAAAGTCGGGGACACAGTGTTGCGCGGAGAATATTAAATAGGAGAGAGAAAGAAGAGAGAGAGACTGGAAAGTTCACGATGCTACGTTAATGGCGGTTAGGGTTTCCTGTTGATCCCCCAAAGCTTGATTCCCTCGCTGTAATTGTTTTCTCCTCTCTCGTTCTACTTGCACTCAAAACCCTAATTTGAAGTTCACCCCCCAAATTCAGTATCTCTGCTTTGGTTTTTTGTTTTGAAATTTTGGGTTGTTGTGATGGGCGCGCCGGAGAAATCGCAGACTATCGCAAATTCGATGCAGGCAAGTATGCTCTTTGTGTAATTGAAAACTTTATGCGTTGTCGTCGATTTTAGTCAATGCAATTTTTTTTCGTTTTGCTATTCGTTGTGCTTTGAGTTCGGGCTTCGGTTGATTTATTGGTGATTTGGTGAGCTTGTGGCATTTGTTGTTGACTAAGTATTACTGCTTGTAAATTGAGTTGGATTGTTGGACTGTGTTTCCTTAGCTATCACTCGGTTCGTGTTATGCTTCATGCAATCGTTCTCTTGCTTGATATATTTAGAGCCATGACATTCTAAGAAGTGGAGGATAGTGCACTTGCTTGAATATGCATTTTAACTTGCATATCTTTGTTGTAATGAACTGATAATTGTTTGATTCCACTTGATTTTTTTATTGTTAACAAAAGAGCTTAAATTTAAAAGTTTTTTACAATATCATCCTGTGATATAATGGCAAAAAATTTAAAGAGTTAAGTTTCGTAAACAATGGTTGTGATAGTCAAACCCTTTCAATGATTAAAAAATGCGATTGGATGACTACTTGATATGAGGCTTGCTAACAGGTGCTTTTAGAGTTAAAATGTGATTGAAAAATCTAATATGATATATTAAATGCCCTTGTGCTTTTTAGGGCACTTGTTAACAAAACCCAATTGACAATGTTAAGGAATTATTCAACGAAAGTGGGTCAAAATTAAATCCTTCTAAAAGCTGAACTGAAAGGTGAAGATTCTGTTGTTTCTTTCATAGTAACCATCATCCATTTGGAGGTGTTTTGGGGTTGTACTACTTATGCATTTTTACATTGTGGTTATGAGACGGTCTTGTACCATCAAAGTGTATGGTTTGAGATAATTGGATAAGCTTGGACTTGTTTGAGTTTGAAATGAATTTCTTGATGGCACAGGCCTGGATTTTGGTTACAATATGGATACATTTTAGATTTCTTTTCTTTTTGTCTTGAAAATTCTAGGTTGCCGGTAATATGCTGCCATAGAATTTGGAAAGTTGCTGCTATGTCACGGTACAGTGAACTAGTTTTTGTCAAACTTTTACAGTCTTTTCATGCAGTTACACTTACTCACTAAATGTATCTGGTTTCTTCATTGAGAGTAAAACGTGCCCCCCTTCTCTACCTTTTTCAGTTATATCAAGCGTTACATTTAAGCACAAAAGTGTGATTTTTTAATTTGCTTCCTTGACTTTTTTGCATTTGTTTCTTCTGTATGCAGCTTGTTGTGCTGCATTTGTTGCCCCTTTTTTTGTTTTTATGAATCAAATTCTACTACTAAATTGTAATGACATAGTGGAGTGAATTTTAATAGGGAGATATACTGCATTAGGATTAGCAATTTCTGTTAGCGCACACAGTTTTGTCAGTTTTTTCTCAAATCATTAATAATAGTGAGAACTAATTTAAATTAAAAAAACTGCATATTCTATTTTAATATTTAAAGTTTCTGGTCCTTAATTGTATTCTTGCTTTTGTCTCTTAACATTTCTTGCTTAACACTGCATATTTTTCTCATGTAAACTGTTCATTCATTCATTAGCATTAAGCATTTATCGAACTTCTTAATTAGGCCATAGCAGCATTATAGCTTTGTTGCATTTTTGTGGAGTGGAGTGTCCACTGTGGCTGTGATTGAGATAAGAGCCCTAACACAATCATTGAAGACTAGGGGAATGTTTAATGGGGAATATTGTTAGCACTCAAACTCCTATTAAGAAAGTGTATAACAGAAGAAATAGAAGGGGGCCCAAAGGATCATATGGGCAAATTTCCTAATCCTATTGTGTAGAAATGAGAGTTCTATGCTAGATGAGTGGTTATCAATGAAGCATGGACTTTGACAGGGACATTGGACACGATATGAACACTCTAGCACAGCTAATGTTTAAAATATAGGACACTAAGACAACATATAACAACAATAAGTCTCACAAAAAAAATATATTTTTAGTTGTACACCTATTGCAAAGTGTTTGATGCATGTTAAACAAGTGTCCAAGAGGTGGTAATGTCAGAAACATGTCCAACATCATGCCACTTCAAACTAGAAAGGTGTCTACTTCATTTGTGGTTACGCAAGACAAGACAGAATTAAGAAACCAATCATTAGAGGGAAACTTGGATTATCCTCCGCTGCAGAAAAAGTGGTAGGGTCTTGTTTTGTGTGGTTTGGGCATGTGTGGAGAAGACTTGTAGAAGCATTTGTAAGGAGATTGGCTAAATGGTAGATAATCCAATAATTCGGGGTAAAAGGAGATTGAGGAAACTGAAGGTCAAGCCATTGAGAGGGATTTATAGGTAATTGGTCTATCTTTGCATTTAATGTAGGCTAGAGATTTATCGTATTGTATGCTACATGTATGTTATGCTACATGTATGTTTTGCTACATGTATGTAGCTGACCCCAACAAGTGAAAAAATGCTTAGTCATTGTTATTGTTGACGGAGTAGAATCACTTTTAAAGTGTACATATAGATATTTTTAATGGGTTTCACTTCAAAATCGAGTCTGATTAACAGAAAAGCTAACATTTTGATTTCTCTCAAAATCAATTGTACTCATTGCATAGTTATTCCCTCAACTCCTAAAAAAATAGTTACTGTAGAAACCCATTTTACTTGATGAAAATGTGATTTTGTGCTGTATTGAAACAAGCACTGAAACTGTTCAGAGCTATAAATAGAATGAGTGAAGGTGGGATTGGGAACGGCAGTTTCCGAGGGAGAGATCATGCTCTCAAATCCTGGGTATTCTTTGTAAGCATGCAGAGACTTCTTTATTTGGATTTCAGTGATTCAGCGGGAGAAGAAGGTTATTCGATAAATTATTCTCTATTCATTCCTTATGTTTCCTCCCTGTTGTGAAGTGATACCTAACACAACCGATTGAATAACTTTGCATTGAGGATATGTTGAAATTGATAATCCTGATTTTTTGTTGGTGATGTTTATTAATTACTATAATCCAGGGATGGAACTTCATTTTTCAGTAATGTGTGTTTTCTGTTTGTATCTTCTAATTTTACTCCTTTGACATGTAATGTAAGAGAAATTGAAAATTGAGGGCAAAGAAACTGTTTTTCCTTTTTGATCTGAATAAATGTTTTATACTCTTGATTTTAGTGATTCAGTCATAGGAAACCATTATTTCCACAACATCTGCAGTTGGGCTTTCTAAATGAATATAGTCCATTTATTTCTTTGTTACCTTTGAGTTATGGTGGAATACATGTTATATGTTTAGGAATAGTTATAAGGAATGTATTTTTTGACAACATTCTTTTATTGATATCTTGATTGGTTGTTTCAACTGGCTTATAGCTGTCTCTCTTTTTATTGGATTGCAGCGTGTCAAGCTTTACCGTCTGAATGATAATGGGAAATGGGATGACCAGGGCACTGGGCACGTCACTGTTGATTATTTGGAGGTTTGTACACTGTTTGGTAAAGCTTTCATTTATTACTAACATGTATATCATTATCACATGTGAGAACTGTTGTTCTGGGGCATTGCATGCATGACTTACTCTTAATGTCTGGTTATGTGTATGCTCAGAGGCTTTTACCTTTCATTTTGAATCATAATATCCTTAACGATTGGTGACACTATATCTTCTTCCCTCCTCTGCATAATGATAATTGTGTGATTTGGAGTTAACAATGCAACATGATTCTAATATTCAACAGAAATAACTGGTTGGTCGCAATTTTTGTATTTAGAAGGAATGAAAAATCATATCTTATAATGCAGAGGTCAGAAGAGCTGGGTTTATTTGTTTATGACGAGGAAGACAATGAGACCATACTTTTGCATCGCATTTCTCCTGATGATATTTATAGGAAACAGGAAGGTGGTTTTTATACTCCCTTAATAGTGACTTGTATTTCATTATTTATTCTTGAAATATGAGGGTTCATTCTGTGTGTCAATTTAATGGTAGAAGTTCTTTTGTTATTCAGATTCAATTATTTCATGGAGAGATCCAGAATATGCTACTGAACTGGCACTTAGCTTTCAAGAACCTGGTGGTTGCTCTTACATATGGTAGCAAATAACTTTAAAATTTAATTACTTCACATCTTTATCTAGGTTTTCTTCTTTTTGCTGTGGAATTGATTTTAATTAATTAATTAATTCCCATGCTTGTTTTATTCAGGGACAATATTTGCAGTGTGCAAAGGAATATGCATTTTAATACTTTAAGTAGTAAGTAATGCAAAAATTGAATCTTATTATTTCCTCTCTTTACTAGAGATTGTTCACATTTGTTGTTTATTAAATAGGTTTTGTTACTTTCAATTTATTGTTCTGTTATTTCAATGCTTGCTTGGTTGTTAGTGATAATTAATTCTTAGGATTTGGTTTTTGTTTATGCTACAACAATAACATTTTTTGTTTTAATAATTATTTATACACTATCTGACGTACTGATTATTAAGTAACATACCAAAGATTATCCTTAAATGCATGATCTTTGGGGATGACATAGTATTAGTTGAGGATTTGAAAGAAGAGGTTAATGCTCAATAGTGTTGTTAAAAAACGGCCATGGCAGATGTCGCTGGCAGTTTCCGCCCAAATCACCACAACCATGGTGGAAAATGGTGGGCCCATGGCAGTAACTGCGGCTGTGGTAGAAATGACAGTTTTTTAGGGAAAAAACGAGTTGGGCCTCTGACCTGACCTGGGGTCCAAAGTGACTGTGAACTCAACCCTAAAAATTTCTATCTTCTTCCTTTCATGTGATTTGCATCTCTGTCTTTGTTCCAACATCTCTCTCTTTGTCCTTAACATCTCTGTTCTTTCTCATCAACACTATACCAATGGAAATTGTGGCTTTTCGCACATGTCTTGGCTGCTATTGTGAGATTTTTTGAAGATCCAAAAATGTCCTAAATTTTTAACGTTGCAGAACCATGTATCCGGGGGATTTTGGGTCAACTAGGAAAAGGCCTTAAAAATGGGGGTGTGTGTATGTGTTTGCCTTATCATTGCGAGTGGTCTCCTTCCTATGGTGTATAATATCTATGGGTATGACTATGACTGTATGGGTTCTAGACCTGTGAGTTCATGCAACCATTATTTTGTGTATAGGTTGCATGGTGTTTATATTATCTGGATTCTTTGAAGATTTGTCTTGTTTTGATGCTCCTAGATGCGTGTGTGTTTTAGACTTTTAATGGGATAAAAAAGAGGGAAAAATGGTTTAATTGTAAAAGGATGGTTCCAAAATTCGATCAGTATATCAGCGGAAAAACTGTCATTACCATTCAAAATTTATACACTTTCTGAATTTGTAAATATTTCTAGTCATAGCCTGACAGGGAAGGGTTTTGATTTTTGAATTTTCTTATCAACCATTTATTAAGCTTTATTTGCAGAATTATCTTGTTTGATGGTTTATCGACTTAGTCAGACTACATTCTGTATGTTTCAGGTGAGGCATTTCACAGTGTAAACAGTGAGTTAAGGGAGTTGCCTGCAGTTGAATTGTCAACGCTTCCTTTGATTGTTAAGGTTTTGGCATATGCTTTAATCCTCTCAGTTATTTTGTTTCTACCTTGTTATTATTTATTGTTTTGCAATCTCATCACATGTTCTTCCAATTTTTTATCTTAATTTTAAATCTAATTTATGTATTGTTGGCTTTTTGTTGAAATCTTCCAAACAACAATTCTGAATAAGTTTTGGAAGTACTTGTTTCAATTGCTATAGAACAACAGTTTTTTTAATTGAAATCTATCTGTTCAAGTTTTTGATTTACTTTATTGAACAATTTGCTGTGCAGCTATCATTGGTTTCATGTAATTGCTGCCAACATGTAGCCAATTCAATCCAGAATTCTGATCAATTTAAAAAACCTTTGATAAATCGTCACTAACATTGGATTCATTACTTTTTTTTTTTTCTTCCAATTTATGGTGTTCCTTTTCACTTCTACTAAATGAAAATTTTAATCGCACAATCCATCCTGCTATCACTGAGCTGTGGGTTTACTATTTTTAAGGCATGCCCTAGGCCCCTAGCTAACTCTTGGTGAATTCTTAACATAAAGTCTGGTGCAGATCATCAGCTATATGGCCTAGTCCGTAAGCCCAATTGAAGATCATTTGTCAACTTGATGTTAATAAACCTTCCTAAACAAAGAAATGTCAGCCTATAATTATAGTTTCTTTTTTTTTTCCTGGATAAACATAGTTTGTTAAGAAAGAAATAAGATATACAAATGCTATATGATAATAAATCCTCGAAAGGAACACAAGGAAGAAAGGAAACCAGAAGCAAAAAGAACATGAAATTAAAATGCGACATGTCATCCCAATCTTTGTGCATCAACCAAAAAATCCCCTAATCAGACCTTTAGCAGGACATCACAAAGAAGCTAAGTGAACTGCTAAATTCCAATTGAACTCCTAATGCATCACTCAACTAGGAAAAATTCTAGCATTTCTTTCATATACACCAAACAATTGCAAATTGAGAAATTTTTTTTTGTAGCATCTCTATTGGTGCTAAGACCTCGAAAATTAACCCATGAACTGCCAGATATCCTTGGTGCTAACCCAATCTTCACCAACACCCCCAATCAAGTCAAGAACTACTGAGCATTGCTTAAACAAATGAGAAGCATTTTCACAACTTGATCTGCACAATAACACAATAATCAGGAGACAAAGCAATTGGAGGTCTTTGAATTTGAAGTAAACCATTGGTGTTAGTCTTGGTTTAGAACAGCAGTCCAAACAAAAGATTTATCCTTTGGAGGAGCAATTGGTTTCCAAATTGGCTTATCTAAAAGGGAAGAATCATCATTGGGAAATGAAGTGACAAACTGAATGTGACATTTGGATGATAATAAATGCAAGGTGTCAAGTGACCAATAGCTCTGCTCTGAATTAGATGAGATTTGGGTAGAATCTAACAAGATCCAAAGAGACTATAATTCAGAGACTTCCCTATCATGCAAGGTTCTAAAAAATGGAAGGTCCTAGTTGAAGAATAAGTCTGAATTATAGGAGCATTGTACAGATTACAAGAAACACGGGAACATTTCCCACCCATTGGTTCTCCCATAATAATGTGGGAACCATCACTGAAACAAGGAAACAAAAGATTTTGTAGAAGCATGATCTTGAGAAATCAATTTCCAGGGGCTAGCATTTGTTGCTTTAAACACTGAATCGGCGACTCACTCATTAGAATGCAAACCATACTTCTGTTAACTGGACGCCTATAATTAGCCAGGGGCTAGCATGAATTGTCCTATAATGATAAATTGAATCTTTAATCTGTTATAATTATTGAAAATTATATTTCCTATATGCAATGAAATTGATCAATGATTTTTGTTGTACATGGACACCAATATGTATGTATTATTCATGTGGACCTTTTTGCCAATTCATGCATGAGTTAACAATGTGGTTTAGGGTTTAGGGAGACACTCACATTTGGTATGGATTTTTTGATGATTTTGTTACAAACACACCTATTGGTGTTGCCTTTGTTATATTCCTTCTCTACTGATGAGAAAGCTATTTCACAAAATTTATGGTGGAGAATTACAATACTTCCATTGAAGGAGTTGAATTTAGTATGGTGCTCTATATTTATGACCATTCTTTGTTGTTTAGAAGTTCACCTTTTTCTGTCAAGCTCTTATGAAATTCATCCTCTTTTCTGTTCACAGATGGTGGGTGAGAGTGGCATTGCTGATCAGTTGCGGCTTACAGAACTAATCCTAAGTGATGTAAGTAAAATAAACGTCTAGTATATGTGCATGTGATATCTTCATTGATTAGGCTGGTAAACCTCATTCCGCATGATTTAGTGATTTCTCACTATTGCTATATATCATCCATTAATTAAAGTTTCTGCCTTTTGATTACAAGCCTTTCATTATTGGTCCTTTTTTTGTGATAATTTATGGTAACATATATCTGTGTGTCTTGAAATTGAGGAATATAGACAGCCTTCCCTTTGCTTTCCACATTCATATAGGGACTGAAAGGATAAGATGGTGTAGTCAAGTATTTAAGCCATCCATTACTTTCATTTATGCGCTGTCTCTAGATTTTTGTTGCATGAGGTGTTGACTTTTGTTACCTTGAACATCATATTCCCTGAGGATTACTATGAATTATATAAAATTTGGGGTGAGTTTCTTTTATGATTTATTGGAAGAAAAGTATAGTTCCTGATGATATTGTCAACTAAGTTATCAATTTGTATGGTATTGCAGTTAAGACTTATGTCATATTGATGACGGTTATGCTGTTATTTCTTACTTGCACCATTATATCCTAATGTTAGTTACTATCTACCAATGCCTATCTTGTTTGACAAATAAGAATGAGTATTGAGTCAATTCTAGTGCACTTTTTTGTTCTTTATTTTGAGATCTGAACTCTGCACACATCGCATCGATCATTTGTATGTCTTGGAAATTATAATCTTTGTAAATTCCATTTTTTTTCCTCCTTGTATATTTTGGATTTCCCTTTTTTATTTATATTTTCAATGCAGCAAGACTTTTTTAGGAAGCTCATGGAACTATTCAGAGTTTGTGAAGATTTGGAAAATATGGATGGCCTTCACATGATTTTCAAAATAATCAAAGGGATCAGTCAGTATTCAATTTTATGCCATTTTACTTTTAACCTTTTTTTTGACATTTTTTTTTTCATTTTTGATGAGTGTTTGTTCTCCTGCAGTTTTGCTTAATAGTACACAAATTTTTGAGCGAATATTGAGCGACGAATTTATTGTGGACATTATTGGTGCCCTCGAGTGTAAGTTCATTGTGTGATTTTTTCTTAACCAAGTAAAATGAGTGTTTTGGTATTTAGCCATTATATATGTCCATGTTTTGCATATATGTGTGTGTACTTGTAGTGAACAAACACTAAAAATGAGTTATTTTCTTGAATATCTTGTTATTTTGTTTCAGATGATCCAGAGGTTCCTCATGTTCAACATCATCGTAAATTCTTAATGGAGCATGTTATTTTTAAGGAGGTATTTTTTTTATCTGGTTATTCATTTTATTTTGGTAGAGAAGTTTGGTGGAGGTAGATCTGTAGATATATCCAAGGAAATTTCACTTCTTACTCATAGTGTTTAACTATTTTCTTTTGTAGGCCATACCTATAAAAAATACAATTGTGTTATCAAAGATACATCAGACATATAGAGTTGGTTTTTTGAAGGTTTGGCTCCTACTAATAAGCCTTTTATTGCTGTTTTCTCTTATTTATTTATTTATTTCTAATTTATAATTGGTCCTTTCCTTCTTTTGTTGCTTTTAGGATGTTGTTTTGGCTAGAATTTTGGATGAGGCCACTATTGCAAGTCTTAATTCCATAATACATGCAAACAATGCCATTGTAAGATTTTGATTTGTATGGAAAGAAGCCTACTCTTTTAATATGTTGATTATTATCTTTGGTTTTGACTGCTCTGCTATTTTTAGGTTGTTTCTTTATTGAAGGATGACAGTACATTTATTCAGGAGTTATTTGCTAGGTTAAAATTGCCCACCACCTCTCCTGAGTATAAGAAAAATATGGTAAGTCTTTTGTTTCTCTTAGCCATTACAATACTATTCTACTGCTTCCAGCATGACAGTGTTATTTCATAACTTGACACTTTCCCCTCCTGGGGGTGTGGCTTATTATTTATGTGTGCAGTCAAATTTGATGAAATTTTATTGATAGAAGAAATGGAATTTCAGTGTGAGGTTATCTAATAAATGGTCCTGTTGTTCTGTACATGAATTTTTTATTCTTTTTCCTCCTGAATTAGTTGATTTGTTTCAAAACTTCTAAAAACATGCATTTTGTAGATTGCTTATCTCGAGTGGGGTTGTTATTCAAGGTACTAGTACTGTTAAAATTACATGAGAACATCTTTTTCATTTAGTTTTTAATCATGGCATTGTGTGCGCTTCAGATCAGAGCTAGACTCAGTCTGATTTAATTGAAATTCCTGTGCTTTAGTTTCCATCTTGCTCGTTGCATTACATGTGCCATCCTTAGGTGTAACATGCTTTTAATAATTAGACCCTTGTAATTTGTAATATTAAATGTCTTCTTTAATTGGAAATATTAGAATTGGGAATAGAGTAGGCCAAACACAACTGGGAAAGCTAGTTTGGAGGTAGGATTGCACAAGTCATTATAAGTAGTTCTTAGGCCATATGTGTAGCTGAGGACTTGTATCTTAATAGTTAATACACATCCTCATGCCAAAGACTGAACATCTAGAGCATGGAATTCACAGGATTGGGATAACCTGTGATACCATATTAGATTTAAGAATGGATTGGGCCTAATTTGACCTTGAAGTCTAGCTCAAAGGGAGAGGATTGTCCCAGTCATTATATGAAGATCTTAACTGGAAATACCACCCAATGGTTCATTTCATCTCTCATTTTTGCCTAAGCTTAAAGGAAGCAAAATATTAGAAGTGTTCATGAAGGGATGCTTGCTTTGCGCATAGCTTATAACTTTAGAACATTACCAAATTTTGATTTTTCCCCTTTATCATTTTATTTTTCTTACTGGTCATGTCGAACTAGTTTCACTGTAAGAGTATGACTGGTGGGGGCAGTGTTTGAACAAATAAATTGTTACTAGACCTGAGGTTGAGCTTTGCTTCCTTTCAAAGTGAATCATGCCTGCTTGACCTTTTTTTGTTTGTATGATTTATGATTATAGAGTTTTACTTATCTTGTATTGTTAAACTGCTGTAATGTTGATGCCATCTTTTTTTTATGCTCATGGTTGACCTTAATGCTGACATGATGGACAGGTCCATTTCTTGCATGAGTTTTGTAGTTTAAGCAAGAGCTTACAGATGGTACAGCAGCTTCGGCTTTTTCGGTACGTAGCATCTGGAGTGGTGAATCTTGACTGCTGACAGTTGACACACAAGTGTCAGCCTGTTATGCAGTTTGTGTTCTCCAATTGTTAGAATCAGTTGCTATTGTTCAATTGCATTCTTGGTAATTATTTAGGCAGTGTGATATTTCTTCTGAAGTTTGTTATTTTTCTTAAGAAGTAATTTTGATCGATCATCTCTAAAACGGATACTGCTTTCTTGGGAGTCTTCACTGGTGGAGCTGACGGTGGAGCCTTGCATTTACTTGCAATTTTTCACACTAAAATTTTGATTCTTAAGCTATTTCATACTTGTTTGCAGAAGATTTGATATCTTTTGTTTGGTAATTTCACAATTCTTCTCTTAGCAAGTTCGTAATTATAACACTAAACATCTTTTGAAAACAAATTCTATATATAATTATTCAAAGCCATATTGAGGTGGCCATTTAAAGAAATTTTGATCAGTAAGCTCGATTTTTTTATGACATGTTGCACTTATACCTTACTCTTCTTGAATTTGTGATTACTTTTTAAATTTTATTTTGCTATACATTCTAATTTTGAAATCTTATTAATTCTCGTTGGTTTTTCAATTTCAATTTTCAATGTTTGTAGGGATCTGATGAATGAGGGCATCTTTGACATCATCACTGACATCTTGCAAAGTCAAGACAAGAAACTTGTGCTTACTGGGTACCGATGCCCCCTTACAGTTTTAACTATTATGTTTGGCATTCATTATGATTAATTACTAAGAGGAAAATGTCGTAATGGTTGCAGAACAGATATCCTCACACTCTTCTTGAATCAGGATCCTAATCTACTGCGGTCTTATGTTGTTGGGCAGGAAGGAATTACCCTTCTTGGACTATTGGTAAGTTTTCGTTTGCAAATGAGGTCAAATGTTCTTTTTAGATGAATGCATGTGTAAAGAGATGAAATTGAACAACCTTGTTAGGGTGTGTGTCTAATAAGGCATTGTGCTTGTGTGTATATGTTGGAGATGGGTTGCTTGATTACTGATGTCTTTTTGGACTGTTATGAAGGTATATGTTGTACTAGCAAATGCAATATATGTCTCATTGTGTGTGTATATGTGTGTGCGCTTGCATGTTTAAGCCTGCTAGGACTGTATTTATTTTAAGGATCTGGATGAATACTGACTTACATGGTAGTTGTAAAGGTTGATTTTGGAGCCAAATGAAAGGAAGTATAAAATCACCATGTGTCTTCACATAACAATTTAAGTTTGGGGTAGTTGGCTCATGATACTCTGCCACTTATCCCCACTTATTCAAATTTTCAATGATAATTTGATATGACTTCTTTTCAAGCCAAATTTTGTACTGAGTATGGTTTGAACAATAGCAACAAGACCCAGATATAAAATGTTGCAAACATGAACCTCTCAGACTCAAGAAGGAGCACAAGCCCAAGCAACAAATAAAGGTTGATTGGTGGCCTTTGGGGTTCAAACGTGAAGTACAAGTTTATGCTGATGATTGGAGGCAAGTCACGACTAAATTGACCCCATTTGAACTCGAGGGAGAGTGTTAAAATAAAGAAGTGTCACATTGATTGAACATGAGATATGTAAATGGAATAAGAGCAAAGAGGTGTATAACTCCAACGGCTTTAGGCATTTTTGATGAAGTTGGTCCTCAAGCACAAATCCCACATTAAAGGCCAACCATTGTTCCTATGGGGTAGGACTTGGATTGGGCCTGTTTGTAAAATGTCAACGGATGGAGAACTAGTTTTAACTTACACAGTTCTAACTGAATGATTGTGAGTAGTGTTTCTTCCTCTATTTGCATTATGATTTTTGGATCTTATAAGGCCAAATTTAATAATTTTTTCAAAAATAGGAACAACTTGAGAGATTATCATGTAACCTGATCATTATATTCATTTTTATAAATATTTCATATTCTGTCAATTTATACTATCTGAACATACCTAAAGCTGTTTAACAGTAATGATGTAGAGGATAGTCACCTCTAAAAGCCGCCTAATAATAGGATACAGCATGCAGAGATCCGTACCTTCATGATCTGGTGTGGGGCTCGTGCTTCATTGTCTTTGTTGGGTTCCAAGGAGTATACCCAGCAAACTAGGGGACGGGCAAATTTAGCTCCAGTATTTATTTGTTTTTAAGTGAATTCATGCCCAAGGGCAGGGATAGTAAGACGGATAAGCTTAGCTAAAATGTGAGTTGTGTCTGACTGGTATCTCACAGTTGCTAAAACTGAATACAATGTGGATAAGGGGAAGAAGAGAGATTTGGGGTTGTGCTGAAATTGCAAAGGATGTTGGAAGCAGGGTGGACACTGATAGAAGCAGAGATAAATGGGACTGAAGGATACTGGGGGAAGACATTTAATCATCTGACTAAGGATTTGAGGCCTTTTGGCTGGAAGGAAGTGGGCCCATGACCTATTTCTTTTCTTTTTTTGACCTTTTGCTTTGTTAATTTTGGAGTGTGTTGTAAATCCACTTCTGCTTTTGATAATCGGTTCTGATCAGTACACTACAGACTGCAGAGAATAATTTGTGTTTAAATTCAATAAAATTAAGCTTTGATTTGGGTGATATTTTGGTATCTCACTACTAGTTAATGTGGAATTCATGCGCTTCTGCACCATGGCAACTAATAAACTAAGTTACAATTAGAAAGACACAGTAATATACATTAAATTTATGGAAATATTACATGGAGTCCTTTATTAAAAATAAAGGGCAGGTCAATGATTTTATGATCTTTAAGTTAAATGTATTTCATGAAGTTATCTTCAATAAAACTGTTAAATTACTGGAGATTCCATTGCTTCCCTATCCAAGGAAATATGCAATGTGAAAATGTGGATTCTGAATTTTAAGTATTTTCGTTAAATTAAGTTCTGTCATGTACAGGTTAAAGGAATGATAACAGATTTTGGAGATGATATGCATTGCCAGTTTCTTGAGATTCTCCGCAATCTGTTAGACTCATGCTCATTGTCTGGAGCACAGGTTCCATTTTCTGCTATTTTTTCTGATCTGTCAATTATTTTCGTGCTTTGTAATTGATTTTTTACTCAACTAAAATGCTTCTTTAGATAGACTAGGGGTGATCACACTCTGGGTTTAGTAAAAAATAAAATATGAATTGATTAAATTTAATTTAGTGTGATTGGACTGGGTCGGCCAGGTTTTTTTTTCAACTAACCCAAGTCAATAAAATTTGGTTGGGTTGAATTGGGTTATCGACTTGTATTTATTTATTTTACTACATTTTTTTAAATAAACATTTGTTAAAAAAAGTTTACTTGTTAATAAAATATGTTTTATAGCTTTAAAAAGAAATATTTGTACTCAGACTAAAAGAATGGAATATCTGTAAAAAATCAAATAAAATAATCAAGGATAAATTCTGTATTATATATTTATATATGAAAAACTTCAAGATATTAATAAAAAGTTAAAGATCTAATTTGGACAAGCTTCTAGATAAGTCTTTATAGGAGAAGAAAATTAATGCAAAAAATAAATATAATTATCTCATAAGTTAAAAATAACTTATACTCCTTAAGTCTTAGAGAAGTTAGATGAGAGAACTTTTAAACATAAGTTGATTTTAATTTATGGGAGGAGTTTGATTCGTTTTACTATTTAACTTTTTACTTCTATAAGTGCTTATTGATAATTTTATCCAAACTGAGTCAAATTAACAAAAAAGAATATATGCTGTACCCTTTTGAAACACTTATTTTCTCTTCTCAATCTCATTGCTCTATTTCGAAGCTATTGATTTGAGGTTTGTTTCACCGTTGTCCTCACTCCTCGCCATTGAAATTGGGCAAGCTTGTTTGTTGAAATTCAATGTGTAATTGAAGTCTTTCTTCTTTATTTTTGTATTTGCAGTCATTGCTCGATTTTAGTTGTGCAGGTGTAGAATTTTGAAAATTGATTGTCTTTAATAATATATGTGCTGAATTCTTTTGAAAAACTTGTTCATTAATGTGTCATTTGACTCATTCTTGGTTAGTTAGATAGTTATTACTGTAGTAATTTTTCAGTTTCACTTGACAGAGGGATGCTATTATTGACATTTTCTATGAGAAGCATTTGGGTCAACTGATTGAAGTGATAATAGCATCATGTCCTTCAGAAAAAGTTGTTCATGCAAGCAGCAAAACAATAGATCCTGGTCCAAGAATTAAGTATGTCAGTGGGGGGACAAAGCCAGAGATACTATCAAACATATGTGAATTACTATGCTTTTGCGTCCTCCACCACCCATACAGGATAAAGTATTTCCTTGTTGCTTTGCAGTAATCAAAATTACTTTATATTGCTGATCATTTAATGTGATTGTGAACGTGAGTCTCTCTTACTGTTTGCAGGTGCAACTTTCTTCTTAATAAAGTGATTGATAAAATTTTGTTACTGACACTGAGAAGAGAAAAATACCTAGTTGTTGGTGCTGTTCGGTTTGTTCGTACTATTCTCTCACGTCATGTATGTACTATAAACACTTGTGCAGATTCTCAGTTTTGTTTATGTCAACTGCCACAGTGAAGTACCCCCGTCTCCCTATTTGACATGCAACCATTGACTTTTAATTTTAGGTTTCACATGGCTCCCCAGTTATTTCATTCTTCCAGCTTCTATACAAACCACCTTTTTGTTTGGAAAGTTCTTTTTTCTTCTGCAGTTTCTTTTTAGCAAAATCTTGTTATCACTGATTAAGCTGTACATTTTGGAGCTTATTGCTCTCTCTTATTGAAGTGGAATTTATTTGCTTACTTTCTGTGTACTTATCTGAACAATTTACTTACTTCATGCTACCAACCAGGGTTTAATGGGTAGGTCTAAGGGAATTTTCTGTCATCTCTATAAATACATATGATTAGATCTGTGCAGTAAATTAAGAATATAACTAGGCAATGGGACCTTTGAGTATGAAGTCCGCAATGCAACTTTTGGGCAATTTTATTTACTTTGTTATTGCTTTTTAGAGTTGCTTATGTTGGTACCTTTTAATGTAAATTTTGATCTCTAAATTCTTTTGTATGACTTGTTCTCATCGTATTAGGTTTGAAATTTCAAACCTATAGGTTATTTGGTTGAATCTTTTTCTGTGAAACTAGTGTTTGTGTTGTTTTTAGCTACAATTGCTTAATCCTTTTTCTTTAATCCCTTTATATTGTTCTTGTTTCTTGTAGATATGTGATGGGTTGCTTTCAAATGCACAGTACATCTAACAGTTTGGAGTGTTTTCCTGCAGGATGAGCATCTGATAAATCATTTTGTTAGAAACGACCTTCTCAAGCCAATAGTAGATGCTTTCATAGCTAATGGCTATCGCTATAATCTGCTCAATTCTGCTGTTCTTGAACTTTTTGAGTATATTCGGAAGGTACAATGCTTTTATATGTATTCATTGTGGATATTAATATCTCAAGCAATTTTGTATTGATAACATTGTATAATGCAGGAGAATCTTAAACTGTTGCTGAAGTATATTGTTGATTCTTTCTGGGACCAGCTAGTGAAATTCGAGTATTTGGTTTCCATTCATTCACTGAAAGTAAAATATGAGCAGGTATTTTCACTTTGCTTTCACCCACTCCTTGCCCAAGCACATAGTTCTGAGATTATGTGCTTGCTTGCAGTTTTTGGATAATGATGGGACAAAAGGTACTGTTATTATCAATGACCGAAGAAGACTGGATGAGCGCGCTCCAGATAAAGAAGAGGATGACTACTTTAATGACAGGTATATATCTTCTTCCACAAGTATTGTAGGAGATTTTATTCTACTGGTATTGGGTCTCTTGACTTTTGGTGGTTAATCAGTGATGAGGAGGATACAACCTCTACATCAATTTCACATAATCATAAAGGGCAGCAACAACAACCAGTGTTATCCAATGGAGTTGCTGCAAGCAACTCACAATTAAGGTACTTGTTTTTCGTTGTACTTTCTAGTCCATTACTCTGATTTTCTCAATATCTGCTTCTGTACGGTAATGCATTTCTCATGATTTTCAGTCCAAGGTCTGGTGGGCTGGTTGACTATGATGATGATGAAGATGATGAAGATTACAGGCCACCGCCAAGGAAGAAGCCTGAGGTTTCAGAGGAGGATGAAGGGACAGTGGAGTCTTTTAGGCTGAAAAGAAAATTGCCTTCAAAAGATAAAGAGGAGACTGAACTTGTACGGAAGCAAAAATTGTCTAAAAATTCAAAATCAAAGGACAGTGTTTTTGCTTCCTTGTGTTCAACGTTGAGCCATGCTGTGCTACCTGGCAAGAAACCTGCAAGTAATATTCATACTGGTCCTTGGACAACAGATGGGAACGTGAGCTCAAGTGAAGGTATTCAAGAAAAGGAGCCAGATGTTTCTAGAAACTGCTGTGAGAGTAGCAATGAGACAGCTGAAGTAAACCATGTAGAGAAAGAAGCTGCTGCTTATAGAAATTTTTCTGATGGCTTGTATGGCACTTCAGATAATGGACAGTTGGGTGGCGAGGAACATACATTGGTTTCACCAAAATCCTCACCAGAGATGACCGTAAGTGGATCTTGAGATTTTAAAACTATATATACAGAGAGGCAAATTGTTTGTGCTAGTTCACCTGTGTATTTGCCGGTGGCAAAATGGTTGCTGTGCCTATGTGAGACAAGGATCTCTTTCTACTAAGGGGTAACATCTGATTATGATTCTGTGGACGTGTGGAGATACTGTACAGTGACACTGAGAGGCGGCAAGATACTACGCAACATCTTGGATCTGCTCCTATGCTTTAGTAGGTTTTTCGGGCTTTTGAGCTAGTATCGTGTAATATTTGCTATTTGCTAGCAATAATTCTTGTTTTTCTTCCTTCTCAACATTACAGCTCATTTTTCTTTTCTGATGAGGACTCTCGGTTGAGAAGGTTGATCTTGTTATCATTTTTTTCTTAAAAAGTTATATTAACTTCTTGAGAGTGGGCGCCAATATTCGCCCAACACAGGTTTTACTTTTTCCCCCCCCCAATTTTGTGGTGGATGTGATATAGGGCCAATTTTTCACAAATGTAGTAAAACATCATCCGTTGTAAATCTGTATTGAACTGTTACGCATGCATTGAACTTCCCATGCAGTTCTGTTATCGTAACTAAATTATGTTGGTTAATTTCGCCTTAGATTCCTTTTTTATGTATTTCGGCTTTTCCGAATATGCCGTTTTTAAGGAAAAAATTAAATAAATTTGCTTGATAGTATTAATGGGGTACATCCCATCTTCACTTCCGTTTGTAATGTGGTAGTATAGGCTGCAGGGACGTGTATGCAATGCCAACGTTTAGCTTTTGGGCATCGAAATTACCTGTAATTGTCAGGTTACCTTGGACCTTGTTATTATTGTTGCTGTTATTGCCGCTGCTGCTCCTGCATAATAATCCCAACAATTTTATCCATGGCGATTTCCGCAAAACAGTGTCATGAAGGAAAGTTGTGTGTTCATGCCTATATTTTTGGTATAAAGTATGAGAAGAGAAGAAAGATATGAAAAAAGAGAATAAAAAAAGAAAGAGAAAAAGAAAAAGTGATCGTTGAAGTAGTTCGTCTGAAAATTCTTGACTAATGGTGCATAGACGTGATGCTTGGAGGTGGAGGATGGAGGTGGCGGTTTCGGGAACAATCATTAAGGTTAGAAAAATAGTGAATTGTAAATTACAATACTCAGTAAAACATTCTGAAATTATTAACTTACCTAATCATCAATTTTTCAGTTGATAAAACCTAGTATTGATATCTTTTTTGCCCAAATAGGGTCAGAAATGAGGCAACCATTGTATAATCCGAGGAGTAGGTATTTTCTATTTCAACTTGCCTTGGGTAATTGATCGAGACAGACGCAAGCTTATTTTATTGTGCAAGTTCTGAACCTCCCGAATAACAATAAGTTATTCACAAACATTGATAAGATCCATTTTATTCGTTTTAGATGAATTTGAGCTTAAGGGTATTAGTTAGCTGTTAATTAAATGTTTTTAATAAATTATTATTATATAAGAATTTATAATATTAAATTGATCATAAAATTCATTAAAATAAGCTAAAAATTATTTTAATAAGTTATATAACAAATATTTTAAAATAATGTTTTAAAAAATTATAAGAAACAAAAATTATTTTTATAAGCTTTTTATGAATTATTTTAAACGTCCCCAGAATTATAATACTGAGTGAGTTATTAAATATTTTAAAAAATTGTTTATAAATTGTTTAAGAAGAGTTTTTAAGGCGAAGTATTGAATTTTTAAACCGTTAGAATATTCTTAAATTACACATTATACCAAATTTCGTCTGCTCGTCAAATCTTAAAAAATATAACGAAGTTTAAAAATAGAGATCAAGACCAACAAAATTATATGTATCCACATATTCATTTATAGAAAAACTTGTTAATTCTACAATCAACTTTGATTGCAAGTGCAGAAGAGGACTGGGTCGTAGGCATTACCCCTGATTAGTAGCTAGAATTAGTAGTAGCAGAATCAGCGAAAGCTGAATCTAACCTCATCACCATCGTGTCAAAATCTGTTCCAAATGGGTTGCCACCAACTACGCATTCTCTTTGTTTTAGAAATGCCACGTGTGGATCATCTGTACACGTGTTCTCTAACCCCCTACTCTGCTTCTTACGTTGTTTGCTTTTCTTCTTCTTCTCTCCTTCCCCCTTTGTTGCTATCATTACCAATCACTTGCTTTTTGTCTGTGTCTTATGAAGAGAGTATTTGAATGGTATTAGGAATAATCACCTTAGCGAAGAGTAATATAAAATATTACTGAAGATGAACCTTAACACGAGCAGTAACTTGGAGACTCGTTCTCTTCTTAATGAGATTTGTAACTTTGATAAGAAGGGTCTCTTTGATCTTGGACACCCTCTTCTCAACCGCATCGCTGAGAGCTTCGTCAAAGCTGCTGGAGTATCCTTTCTCTCTTTCTGCTTTTTTCTTCATCCATGCATGTCCAATCAATTTTCTTTTTTCATTATGTTTCCTCTTCCAGATAGGAGCGGTTCAAGCTGTGTCTCGTGAGGCTTATTTTACAGCCATTGAAGGTGAAGATTGAAATACTCTCCCACTTGTTTTTCAACTTTAATATTGCTAATAGTCATTATTATATAAATAACATGCAGAGCTGGACGTGATAATTTGAGAGTTATGATTTGATAGGAAATGTTTTATATGTTTCTTTGGTATCATGATTATTTATCAAAACCAAGTGAAAATCATGTAATGATGAGGCAATGCTGTCCATGGTAGGTACCGGTGTGGATAACAGTGGCGGTTTGCCAACAGAAATATCAGGCGCCAAAAAAAATTGTTTGCCTGGTCTAAGAGGTATATATGCCATCACTTGCTGTACTCACTATGATGCACGGATCCTTCAAAATTTTCAACGTACCCATGTTTTACTTGTACCAATTACTCATTGTGTATCTATTCTCAATCTCTTTGCTGGGAGGAAAAGTTTAAAATTAGCAAAAGTATTAATATTTTTCTTCTTTTTGTTTTGTGCATTTAGGAGAGACAAGTAGCAAATCTGTTGAGGCCTTGGTGAGTTTATTATAACCTTATAATATTATCTATACTTTTTCTATCAGATGAAATTTGCGCTGTATAATTTTCCTGTTAAATGGGTTTCCTTTTTTCTCAGGTGAAGAAAACCGGCAAGGAGTCCTTACAATGGGGTAATAAATTATTCCTTCCACCTACCTAGGACACAACTTTCTTCTGTTGTGAATTTCCTAACATTTTCTACTTTTCTCTTTGCTCTTGTTCTGTGTTTATTCTATTTGATGCAGTGGTTTGGTTTTTGGTTCAATGAGAATTACTATATGAAATTGCCACTATTATATTCACATTTTTAAAAGCAAAATTTCCCTGTGGGGGCTCATGAATTCTTTTGAATTTCAGGAGTGGCTGCAGGAATATATTCAGGTCTCACATATGGGCTGAAGGAAGCTCGTGGAGCTCATGACTGGGTAGTACTTTTTCTTTTCCGGTGTTCATTTAATGGGTTTGAATTTTAGATCTTAACTTTAATATCTTGCACTTAGATGTGGCAGAACAACCTGCTTTGCGTTCTTAAGTAGCACGAACAACATTACATGTTTTTGGGATATTATGATCTTTCTATTACTTCATCCCATCTTGTCGGCCATTTTGTCCTCTAAAGTTTCCATATCTTTTCAATTTCTGTGAATGATAAAAGTGGACTTTTTCTCACTTTCTCCTGAATTTTTATTCTACTCAAACTGGATAGACTTTATTACTGTATTAAAAAATTAGGCTTCATTTAAATGAAAAAAAAAAAAGAGTTGTTGAAATTTTGAAGTATTCTGACAGTATCTTAGCAATATGAATAATAGCATTAACATGATCACGTATTCTGTTTGACGCAGAAAAACAGTGCAGTTGCGGGAGCAATCACTGGAGCAACGCTTGCACTTACATTGGAAAACTCCACTCACGAACAGATTGTGCAATGCGCTATCACTGGAGCTGCTATCTCCACTGCAGCAAATCTTCTCACTGGGATTTTCTAAATGAGTGCTCTGTTCAGATTGGCTTCTGAGATTAGTAACCTTTTTTCTTCTGAATTACGACAGTTACTTATGCATATTAAGATGAACTTGCAATAATTTCCTTTTTGAATTTTTAGTTATCACTGGTGAATTTCTTGTCAAAGTATTTTTAGTCTTGCTTGAGTAAATCTATATTTCTCTTAATAACTTTCGATATACTAGAAAAGAATATAAACTTCCACAATTTTAATATGGGAAAAATTTAACTTATTTGGCAGTTATTAACAGTTTGCTGTGGCTTATATGTCTAATTGTTCTATCTGGCAATAGGATTTTGCGAATTCGAAGTTAAATCTTAGTAGTAAACATTTTATAATGAGAAAACATGACACGTAACTTCACATGACTCAGTCAAGGGTGACTCAGATTATTGTGAGAACTACACCGTGATTCAGTTAATGCTAATCTTCAGTTTGGTTGGAAACCATTTAGAAGCAACACCTTAATGCTTTGTTGCATGAATTTCATCTTAGGATCATGTTTATCATTGTTGATGTACAGATATGCTAAAAAGATTGACGTATGTGTGTCATACGAATACGGGTACTATTCGCTTGCATTCATATGTTGGATATATCTACTGTTATTTAATTATTAGTGATAAGTTTTTATATTATATAAAATTTATTGAAATTGCAAATTCTTATTTGACTTATATAAAAAATATTTAATATGCATACATAAATATAATTATATTTTAGTTAATATATATTACTGCTTCTGCATTTTAATATTTGGTTGTTTTCAAATAATTATGTATTGTATAAAAAATAAATTACGATAAAATGAGTTTATTTTTTATTAAAAATTAATTTTTTAATATTATTTATATAATAATTAATAAAATTTATTTTAAATAATAAATTATTAATAATTAATACTTTTAGGAGGCCTCAAGCAAAGGTTTTAGAAGCCATATGCTATTTTAACTTAACCTGTGCAATGGAGAGGAGGTTAAGTAAGGGGAATGAGTTTTTTTCTTTTTTATTTTCTCTTCAAAAACCAACTTCCAATTCAAGCGAATAATCTGAGAAACTTAAGCGTGACAATATATCTATCCTTATATTCCAACAGGAAAAATTAGAGAATTTAGTAAACAAAAAATGGTAGGGAACAGATGCCGCGTTTTTTAGTCTACGATAAGGAATTAGAATAGCAACAATCGCGGAAGATGCACGCTTCGCTCTAGCGACAATGATGTTATTCTTGGCATTTTATAAAGTGGAAGAAAGCTTTGCAAAACGAGACACACAACACACCTAAGAGTAACCTTAAAACCTTATTGTAGCCCATGCAGTGTTGACGAAAGTTCGACCATGGGAAACATTCATAGTGGTGTTAGAAATTACAACGAGAGTTTCGCACTCGACGATTCCTCAGAAGTTGTGTTGCGGAAAACAAAGAGCCGCAGAGGACGCGAAGTTGTGGACACGTGGACCGCAGAATACTCAATAGTAAGAACAACCTGCGAAATAAGTTTCACGAAAACCAGCGAAACACGCGAAGAAGAAGAGGTATCGATCTCAATCCACGACCGTTCACCTGGTCGTGCAAACGACGACGTTGAGTTCAAGATTGACGTGTCAATAGTTGATGGTCTTCTCTTGGGAAACATCGCTCTCGATGGACCAAGAAGCATGCAACAACTTCCCCCATGCAAAACCCCACTTCCACGTGGTGGGGTTTTCAAGTCCTCTTCTTTCTTATATGGACGTGACACCGAACGCAAGGGTCTAATTGTCGTTTTGAGGGCAAAGTACAACGACGATGATGAAGAGCTTCCTTATTTGATCACCGTGAAGCACTTTTATGTTTCTGGGTGTTCTTCTCAAGGTGTCTATGCTGTGGCAAAGGTTCGCATCAATGATAGCGGTAATGGAGGTTTGAGCTTTCAGATAGAGAAGCCTATTCCGCAATCTAAACGTCACTTGCAATCCGTGTTTGATAATGTCAAAGGAAATGGGTGGAAGATTGATCCCAATAGTTCTGATTTTGCAATTGAAAACCCAAACAAAGGCAATGTTCCGGTGACTTCCCATGGTGGTAACAACAATAATCATGCAAATGGCGATCCTTATTCTTTTAGCATGAGTCGTCACCAACAGATCTCGTCCTTTATCAGCTCAAGTGGAGTCACTAATGGCGATTGGAACAATTCCCTGATATTAAATCGGTGCAATGTTTCGTTTGATGCACATGGTAAATTGAGGTTTAACTAGTTTAGAAAACTATGGTGTGATGTTGTCTATATAAAGTAAATAAGGTATTTATACCTCATTACAGTAAACGCTTGTTGAGCAAATAATGTTTTATGAATGGTGTATCATGGAATTTTAGCGTGTTAACTTTAAATTGTATTACAAGTTCACATTTCTGTCCCTGATATTTTTAAATTTAAGACAAATGAATGCAAATAGCTAGAATAATTTTTTTCGATATTAAAATCAATTAATCCATGAATTGATGACATTTCACATTTATTATATCTATAAATTGAAGTTGGGTTTTTAATTTTGCTTACAGTTATGTTAATCTAAATTCATCAATTAATTAAATCATTGAATATTATATATTTTATTTGTATATTATAGTAATTTCTTTATTAGATATTATGAAATTAATTTATTAGACCTTTATTTAGGTTTTCTAAATTAATGTATAAATTTGATTCTTGCTTAAGTAATTTTCAATTTTTCAATTTTTCAATTATAAATAAATACATAAATATACATATTTAATTAATTCAATTTAACTATTTCTTGGGGTTAAACAAAATTTTACTTTATACTCCTCTTTTTTAATCCTACAAATCTCTCTTGATTTATGTAACAATCACTGTTTAAAAAATGAGGTTTAAAGATTGAATTTAGTGAAATTTCTCTTTTAATAGAAACAAAGTTGGATTGAGATTTTAAATAATTATTTTATTTTTTTGTGATAAATTTAGAGAAAAATAATTTTTCTCTATTTTTTACTCAAAATATCTCTCTAAATATATGAATAAGTGAGAATGAAATATTATTAAATTTTGAGGGTGCAAATGTTATTTTCCTTAATTAAAATCAAATTTAAAAAATTAGAAAAACTAGTCGTGAATAAATTAAATATAATAAGTAAAAATGCAATATATATATATACCCTTTGAAAATGATATTTTTAATGTGAAAGTAGGAGAAAAAACCTTTGGTTATTATATCTTAAAGTATTACTAAATAGCACAAATTTTTAGCATAAAGAAGTACGAATACAACATGGAATAATTTTATTGGATTAAAAATAATTTATAAGATAAAAAAAAGAAAGAGAATGACGAAAATTATCAATGGGACATTAATATATTTGTTCACCAAAATTGTTTTGTACTGTTTATAATTTTATCTCTTATTATAAATGGTCAGAATTAAAATATTTAAATAACATAAATATTTTAAAAAGTTACATAATCTTTTTAAGTAATTATATGACCTTTCAAATTTTATAATCTTGATTATTCATGTATAGTTATATGTTTTAAATTTATATAATTTATTCTTATGTAAAATGGTTTTTCTTATTAAATACATTCTTCTCTTTACATAAATATAATATTCTTATTTTTTAAGAAAAAATATTTATTTAATTTAAAAGAAATTTTGATGCTATATTATTATTTTTATATTTGTTTCTTCTTATTATATACATTATTTTTATTATATTCACGTTTTAATAATTTTAAAAACATATATAATATTCATATTTTTTAGATGAAAAGAATATTTACTAATTTAGTTAATTCAAAAGGAACATTGATACTGTATTATTAGTTAAATATGTTTTTCTGTTCGCTTTCTTCTTATTTATATATATTATTTTTCTTATCTTTCATATTTTAATATTTGTTTATAAAAATTATTATCATGTCAACGAATCTCCATGGCTCCTAAATTTACAAAAACGTTATTAAATCTATATTTAGTGGTGATTAAGTATAGGATTCTGATTTTCATTCCTTTCTTTATGATATTTTTTGTACTTTCATTCCTTTCTTTATGATTTTTTTTTACCTCTTTTTTGGTTTTTTAACTATCCCGTCATTTATCACACATTTTATTTCCTCAACCCCCCTCCCCCAATTTTTCAAACTCTTCCTTCTCACACACTCCAAAATAGTTTGTATATGCATATTTATCCTTAATTTTATGCAGCATTTTTTCCATGGTTCGATGCTTAAATTAGCAGCACCACACAACGGGAAAGATTTTTTTGCGTTATTCTCTCTTTTGGGACGCTCTCTTATCTTGTATATATTCTTTTAAGATGGATGGGTCTCAATCATGTTGTGACAAATAATTTGATGTTAGGTAGATTAATAAGGTTACACTATTATATTAAAAATTGATAAATTATTGCACATATATTATTAAATTAAATAAATTTTTAAATATATAATTAAAAAAAAATTATATGATTATTTTTAAATTTATAAATTGATAAATTAAAAAATTAATATTTAACTATTAATAATAAATATATTAAAATTAAATGAAGAAACAATTATAAAATTATAAATAAAGTTAAAAAAATAAAATAAAAATAATATTAAATTAAAAAAATGAAATTCTTAATGTAAAAAAAAAAAGTTGACACGATGAAAAGAAGAATTAATTTTTAAAATATTTTTTATTTTAAAATTTTCTAAAATACTTTATTTTTAAAATTAGTATTTGCAAATTATTTATAAAAGTCGATTTATAATTTTTTTAAAATAAATATTGTAATTATTAATAAAAATATTTTATTATGTTAAATATGTTAAAAAAGAGATGCATTTTTTAATTAAAGAATTATAATTTTTTAAATATAATTTATATCAAATTATAATAAACATTTAATGCATAAAAAATCACTAAATATATAGCAGAAGAAAACTAATTATTAAAAGTATGTAGGTTTTTTTAAATAAAAGCATTATCTTTTTACAA